ATAACCCCCCTTATTTACGCCACTGATGGAAACGTTCTTGATTAAGAGCAGAACAAGAGGGATGCAACTGTTCTTCAACTAAGAACGGAATGGAACGGGAAGACTGTTCTTCTACTCAGGACGGAACGGAATGGGACGGAACGGAATGGGACGGAACGGAACGGAACGGGAAGGAACGGAACGAGAACGGAACAATCTAGCTGAAGGCCCTCGTTCTAGAACGGAACGGAATGATTTAAAAAAAGTCGGAACGTGCCCAGCACTACCTAGATGTTCCAGAGTTTCCCCTTAGAGGTTTTCAAGTCTCAGATCCTCTCTGTCCTGCAGAATTTCTCAGCTCCTCCTAATCATTATGTTCGTGCAACAGCTCCTGCTGTCCCTGCCTCTTAGAGAACTGAAACCCATGTTTTTGTTTGTAAGGATTCAACTACTCCTCTCCATCCTTAGTTTAGAGGACAGGACCTGGTTCTACAGAAGAATGACAAGTATTTTACTCTGCAGTTAGGAGCTCAAGCAGATAAGGTTTCAATAGACAGACTCAAACCATTATTCTTTTTCAATGTTATAGTTCCTCAAGCTCCTCCAACAAGAGGACGTCCTTGGCGAGCTCCTCCAGATTGTTCTCCACCCCCTGCAGCAGTTAGATTCAGTTCTCCGCTTTCTCTGCCTCACCCTCCGCGTAGTTCTCGGCCCTCTCTTCAGCGTTTTCCTGTTCTTAGAAGAAATCTTCCTAGAGTGGCCAGACAACCAACTACAGCTTTATCTCCTTGTCAACCTCGTAGATGATGCTGGGGGGGCTTTATCTCCTTGTCAACCTCGTAGATGATGCTGGGGGGGGGGACCTCTGTGGCGGAGTTAAAGACAACCTTCCTTAGGCTCTAACCTGGCTTCCTTCCACGTAGCTAGATATTATAATATGTGAGACTGATTCCAGTCACTATGAGTTTTGATATATGTTTTCCTTGAGTAAACTTTCTGCTATGCTCTGGCAAAATGTTAAGAGGACGTCATGTTGCATTGTTACTCTACAATATACATTATACATTCCTTTTATCCCTTTTACTCCTTTTATCCCTTTTATTTCTTTTATTCCTTTTATTCCTTTTATTCCTGTCCTTTCTCCATTATAAAATGTGTTTGTTTGCTGAACATATTTTCTGAATTTCAAACAAATATATATATCTACTTATATTTATATCTACTCTCCAGTATGTAGGCTTAGTTTAAAGAATTTTCGAAATGTTTTACTCTTGATTCATAAACAACCATATTTTTTTATATTCAAAATCAAAAATATTGAAATTTATGTCTTTAGGCCCTTTCTCTATATAGTAGCATGTTTTTCTTTTCTCATGCTAAAAAATACTTTAAATGGTTGGAATAAATTCAATACTTATTGCAAATCTATTGTTTGCAAGAATATAAAATCTTCAAGGATTTTGTTATAATATTTTGAAAAAAAAGGTTTACAACCAACTTCAATGTAGTATAAAGCAAGAAAATTTATATTTATAACACCATTTCACAAAATTTAAATTCTTTTTGCTTTAGCACTACATTTTTTCATAAAGGTTTTGTAGCTGTATATACAAAGCTATAAGGGTACTAGCTTGGGAACCCAGCGCTGCCCAGGTTCCTTCGTTTACCCGCAATTGAACGATTTTACCAGAAACACAAGATTTTTTCTATTAAATACGAACCACTCAAATAAGAATCTCAAAACCAAGCTTAGCACATTCCTGTGGCTCTCCCAAGTTCCCCAATCAAAAGTTAAGGCAAATCGGTCCGGGGTTCCTGAGTTATGATGGACAAACGAACAAACAGACACCCAAACAGAGATTACAGCTTTATAGATACCATCAAGTCATTAAAATTCTTAAAAACTAAAATCATTCTTATGTAACTAAGCTTTAAGAAATTGTATGATATTGTGTTTTTGATTTACAGAAAATGAGCAATGGCGACCTTGATGTTCTTATAAAAAATCATGATGTAAATAATCACAATCATATCAATGAAGATTTCAACAGTGCAGGCTCTGATGATCCTAGATCAGACTGCAACCATTCTGTAGGACTTGGTAGTGTTAGTGATCTCAATTCAAGTGAAAATGTGCTGACAATTATTCAGCCTTCTTCTAATTGTCAAAGTCAGTTAGAATATCAAGAGCATCATCCTTTGCTTGCTGCCGAGAACTTGGTTAAGACCCCACCTGCATATCAAGCTATTGATATTAAAATGATTAAAAAAGAAACAATTGTTAGCCTTGGTGGCGGGGAAACCAAGCTTACAGTTGCAACTTCTTCAGGTATTGATGTTGACCTTCACAGGCATTGTTGTTGCCTAGTTATTTAGTATAATTTTACTGTAGAATTGATGAATGCAAAACTAAAACCTAATAATATTACCAAATAAAGCAAAATAAAATAAAATAGGAATGTTTTTAACCAAAATTATGTTAGATCAGGGACTAGGAGTCAGCCAAATATGTGAATGATGTAAACAAAGTTTAAATTATTCATATATTTGAGTTTTAACATTTTTTTCAAAAACAAAAAATTTGAGTAAATCATTTTTTTCACCTTCAAATGTACATTGCACACTAATCAGTGTTTATATAAGTTTTAACTTTTGATGCCATTAACTTAATTATAGGAAGTAAACAAATATTTTTAAAGTTCCCTTGTAAGTTTGTCGAATTTTCTATAATTTTTCTATTTTTCTAGGTAAGTCTGCTGCTTACAGATCTCACTAATTTGTTATGGTAATATTGCTGGCTGAATTGATGTTTGCTTAAACACCGTTCCAGCTTGCAGTCTAGTAGCATGGCAGAACAAATTTATTATTTTTCGATTTTGCGGAAATTTAGAAAATATTTTTAAGATGGGGAATACTTTCAAAATGTGTTTATAAAAACAGGAATATTTCATTTTTAGATAGTATTGGTATGGTTTATTATTGATATTTAAAAAACCAGTTGACATAATTGTGGTCTAAATTTTCATTATACTACCTTTTCAGATTAAAAATTACTAGCTGAAGTATCAGGTGTTGCCTGTGGAGTTTTTAAAACCTCAGAAAAAAATTGAATTTTAAAAAACAAATAACTTGATTTTATAGCCTATGGTAACCCCCAGGCACCCTTGGGTTCCCGTAAAAAAATTCGGCCAATTTGGTCCAGCCTTTTGGCCAGCTGTAGATAATAAAATTAAATGAGCGAAGAGCTTTATTATATAGATTGTAAAATGTGCATTTTAAGTAAGAATGCCCCTCCCTCTTTGGTCTTGAATTTTTTTTTGAATGATGCATGTTTCAAACTTTAGAGCTTGATATTGTATTTAATAGTTAAAGTTTATAATAATAGAATATGCCAGAATTTGTGAGTTATAAAAGTAAAACTTACTTGAGTACGAAACATTACTTGTTAACACAGTAATTAGAAGTGAAAAAAATAATTATTTAAGAAATTATTATTAAAAATGGATCAGTGTTCAGAACAGTTTTTGTTTTAGCTGATTTTTGAACAAATAAAGAACTTTCAATTTTTTAAAAACTTTTTTTGCTTTTTTATTGTATATTTTGAGATAAGTAAACTATTAATAATATCTTATTTTTCAACAGTTGAGATTTGTGTTTTTAAATCAAAAAGTTTTTTAACAGCTTTTGCCCCTTTGATCAGGATCTGGATCTGTATCTAGGAAGTGGAATGTGTATTCAACTAACACGGATCCTAAGCACTGAAGTTTTTTTACTATTATGAAGTTTTTTTTGTGTAAACAAGTTTACCCACGAGCTAAATTGACAAAAAAAATCTGCTGATGCCTATGCACTGTGCACTGTGCATATAAACTGTGTGAAAACTATGAACATCCTAGTATTAAACCTGGAGAGGAAAAATAAATTATTCTTTTTCTGGGGAAAAGAACTGTTTCTTTGAGTCTTCATCCATCATATTTCCAACCGTTGTTGTTGAGATTACATATTTTTTTTTGTATTTTTTTTCAACTAGAGTGAGCGCACTTAGTTTTATATTTTATTTAAAGGAATTGAGTCTTTGCCACAAACTCTTTTTTCTAATCACTATATCTTCTGAACCAAATGTTGCAGACCTTAGATAGTTCAGACTAAGAATTCTATTAGATCAAATAATCTGAGTTTGAAATATCAAAGGTTTACAACATCAAGTTCTAAAGATATTGAGGTTTAAATATTGGATTTTGTTCCAAAGACGCAATTCCTATATTTAAACTATCATTGACTTAAAAAATATCAGATTATATATGTAAAGTAAGTTAAAGTTTTTGAAATAAAATATTATAAAACAAAAATAAAAGGTGTTGTTACCCTGTAAGCTAATGCAAAAAATGTTCTATGTTCAGAGCTGTGAGCTCAAAATTCCTGAGTTGGGGGATTGAAAAACAAGAAAAAAGAAATATATGAATGTAATTGTTTGAGAAATTGGTAAAATGAGACTTATTCATTTGTTTTGTTGTAGTCATTTTTTACATAATTTATCTGTGTTCACAAGATCTGGTTCAAAGAAAAATACCAAATTATCTCTAAAATCATTATTACAATAATTCCTAAAGTTTGTATCAGTTTAAAGTTACTGTGTAATGCCCGCAACGATAATATATATATAGATATGCAGACAGGTATAAATTTAGAGGTCTTGAGATAATGAGCACAAAGCACCATCTCTGTCGTACGCATGGCATTTTATCCTCTGGATTGTTGCTAATTTATCACTTTGTTTATGCGTGATAACACTAAATGCGTACTATTGTATCAACAATGTATACTTGTTAACCATTAATTTTAAAACCTATATAAAATGTCGTCTTCTACTGGAATCTCCTGGCGGAGACAGCCAAACCAAATTTTCAGCCCGCAAATTCCATTGTCCTCCTCCGACGGAGCTTAAAATATTTTCGTTGTTGTGAAATCATTAAAGTTAAGCAAAATATTTTCATAAGAAGCATAAGTGAATTTCTCCCTTTGCTGCCTCATAAAGCTCTGTTAGAGTGCCTGGAACACATCCTCCTCCTCCAGTCTCCTTAAAAAGAAAAAAAGTTGTTTTTTATTAACTAAATTTCAGCACATCCTATCATCTTGATCCTCTGGGTTCCTCCTTTCTTCTTGATCCTTTGGTTTCCTCATATCTTCTTGATCCTCTGGTTTCCTCCTATCTTCTTGATCCTCAGGTTTCTGTATATCATCTTGATCCTCTGGTTTCCTCCTATCTTCTTGATCCTCTGGTTTCCTCATGTCTTCTTGATCCTTTGGTTTCCTCATATCTTCTTGATCCTCTGGTTTCCTCCTATCTTCTTGATTCTCTGGTTTCTTCATATCTTCTTGATCATCTGGTTTCCTCATATCTTTTTGATCCTCTGGTTTTCTTCTATCTTTTTGATCCTCTGGCTTCCTCCTATCTTCTTGATCCTCTTGTTTACTCATGTCCCAATCATCTCCAATCTGTTTACTCTTATCTCCAACCTCCAAATCTTCATCATTATCATCTCCCCATGGATATGTGTCCTTGATACTGTTTATATTATGATCCACAAGAGTAAAACTTTCATTATCCTCGCTTCTAGATTTCCGAATCTTCTTTGTTGTTGGATCCCCATCTATGAAAAGTGAATGTCTATACATCATGGTCAGATAAGAATATTCAATTTTTCTCTCTTCGTATCATTAAAAAAAATTGCAGAAAAATCACCAACTTTGCCAAAATTATTAAAATAACATACAAACAAACAAGCACTCAAACAATTCATAACTAACTATTTACATCTATAGTCAAAATTAGTGAAAGTTATGAATACCCTAGGCCTGGGCCCTGGAGTATAAATTTTGACTTAATTATCAAACTTATAAAATCTTATTTAGAAAAATGAATCACAGGTGCATCTTGTAGGTGTAGGTGTTGTAGATTCTGACTACAATCCAATTGTACCTGGATCAAAAAATGAAGGAGGGTCATCTGGATCTGAGTCAGACAGTGTTAAAGTGGATGAAGCAGCAACTTTGTTGATTTCATTTGATTTGGTTTTTCTAAAAAAAAGTTGGTCTCATCTTTGAATGTCAAACAGGCCTGTAATTGAATTTTTTTTAGGGATGAGGAGGGGAGGCCGGAGCAAAGCTTTTTTACACATTAAAAATGCCCTAGTTTTACTTAAATTTTTTTATCACAAGGGAATGGGATGCCTGTGCGTGAGCCCTTAAAGCCCTAAAATAAATTAGGAATGAGAAAAATAACCTGAAGAGATCAGAAGAAAAAAAGTTCTTAATTGTTTTCTGTGTTAGTTTCCTCTTAGGAGGCATAATATCTGAAATTTACATACAGGAATATGTTTTTATTTGCAAAAATTCTATAGACTAAAATTAGTACTTGGTATTGGTTGGAATCTGTCCTAGTCTCCTAAAGAACGCTTTTTGGACCCCCCCCCCTATNAAAAGTACAAAAAGGGGGGGGGGACACAAAAACTTTCTCTAGGACAGAAACCAGGGTTCAATTTGTTTAATATTTATAGCACAATAAAATTTTAAAGCTAGGCATAAAAAAATCAGTATGTTCAGAGTCTAAGCTGGCTCAAACAAACATATAATGTGCATCACCTTAACCAAATGAAAAAAACTACGAAATAAATTTACAGAATATTAATTCTGTTTTTTTATGAAGATTGAGGAAGTTTGATAAGTTCTTTGATGACTTGACCTACAAAAATATTATAAACCTTTACCATAATTCATACCATCCTCGTATACAATTTTTGGATCCCCCCTCCCCTCCCCCCTCCAATCAATTTTGTATGTATGACCACTTTTTCAACAATTATATATTTAGGGTTAGGTTAGGTTAAGACACTTTCAGGGCTGAGTGCTGCGGCTAGGACATGCAACGGGGCAGGGGCCAAGCGCTGCGGCTAGGACTGGCTAGGGGGTCAAGCGCCCCGGCTAGGAAAGTTTAGGGGACTGGGGGCTCCTTCAACATGGTCAATTATATGATTGTATCCATGTCTTACATATAATATTCATGTACAAAATTGATAGGAGTGGGAGGGGGTCCAAAAATCGTATTTTAGGAAATTAACTCATAATATTTATTTTTTATTATAACCAGTTGTGTGTGAGTGAACTGAAGTAACCAGAGTTTACTGTTTAGGCATCTGCAAAATGCCACAAAAACTTTTACTTTCATGAAAATAGACGTCTTTACACAAGTGCAGTCTGCAGACTAATCAATAGGAAATGTATTTTTTTTTGAAGGGAAGTGAACAAGTCAACTGTTACTTGTAGAGGCAGCAAGTGGAGTAACCCCTGCTATTCAGGGCCTGAATATATGTTCAGGGATAATTACCTCCACTCCAAGATTCTAGGGGGGGGGGGGGTAATTACCCCCAGGATTCTAGGGGGGGGGTATTTACCCCCAGGATTCTAGGGGGGGGGGGGAAATAACCCCAATAACCCCCCTTATCTACGCCACTGAATAGTTGGCAATAGTTGGCAATAGTTGGCAATAGTAGGCAATAGTAGGCAATAGTAGGCAATTGTTCCAGAGGTCCTCTCAAATTCGCCACAAATCTATAGAAGATAACATACATAGAAGGTACATTTCAATCTATCCAACCTGAGTTATAAGGAACACTCGAGATGGACCCCACCACCCCTCTCCAACAGGATACTCCCCATGGAAATCTTCTGAGACCCCACAACAGGAGATTCAGAAAACATGCACCAGGAACTCTCCCTGTCATTTACAATGATGCATGATTTGTCGCACACCCACCAACCACGTTCGCAACACTGGAGGTGGCAATGAGCAACAATGACGCCATCCCAGACACTCTGACCATGCCATCCAAATCCACACCAATGCATTCAAATATGCAATTAGAGAGAACCAAATCCACACCCTGAATGCCTTATCCAAACAATTCATTCACCAAATGGAAACCAACCTAGAATTCTTCATCTATGTCCCCTCCAACACCATGATCTGGGTGAAGCCCCTCATCCCCTCCTCCAATCGAACCAGGAAATTCAGGAGGGGCGCCAGGAGAATCAGGAGGACAACCAGGCAATCAGGAAGAGAAACAGGAGGAGAATCAGGTACCTCTGGAAGAAAACTGGAGGAGAACCAGGAAATCCAGGATAAGAACCAGGACAACAGGAAAAGAAAGAGGAGGAGAATCAAAAACTTCAGGAGGAAATCTGGAGGAGAACCAGGGCAATTAGGAAGAGTAACAGAAGGAGAATCAGGTACTTCTGGAAGAAAACAGGAGGAGAACCAGAACATCCAGGAAAAGAGCCAGGACAACAGGAAAAGAAACCGGAGGAAAATCAGAAACTTCAGGAAGAAATCAGGCGGAGAACCAGGGAAATCAGGAAGAGAAACAGAAGGCAAACCAGGTACTCCAACCAGTCCAGATCTCCGACCAATCCCAACCCTCCTGTCGAATCAGGAAACCCAGGAGGAAATTCAGGGGAAAAATCAGGAGTGAAGAATCTACCTCCAGACCTAGGAACCAGTTTGGAGCAGCTCAGGATGAGTTCCACACAGATTCCACAGAAACCGAGCAATAGAGCTCGTACCAACTCCAGATCACGGGTTTCATTATTTAGACAATTTCTTGAATCTTTAAAAGCATGAACAGTTTCTTAAAGACTATCCCACAAGGAAAAAAAATTAACAATTCAAAATTTTCCCCAGAAAATTAGCATTACCTAACTTTCAAAGAAAATTTATTCTTTTTAATCTTAAAATAAAACTCATTTCAATTTGATATTCATAGTCTTTACTGCTTTTCTTTTAATTAATTCAATTTCTATTTTGAACAACATTGCCAAAATCAGAACCCGCCGGAATAATTGTCCCGGATCCACAGCTCCCACCGGGACTCTAGTTCACCTTCATTCACAAGGGAAAACCAGGCTAAACTCAAATTAAATTGTCATTTACCCTCATTATAAATTGAGCCAGACATCAATTAAAGCCTCAATTTCTATTTTTATTTGATCTTTCATTTATTTCATTTGCTTTACGCCTGCCCTTAAACATCCTTAAGTGGAAAATTTTCAACTCAATTTAACTTATTTGACGATTGTCTCAACAGCATTATTAAATGAAAACAGGCTGCCCATGACGATGTAATTAAGTAATCATTTTGTTTGTTCGTACACAATAATATTAATCTTACATGTACCTTAACATGTCACATATCATTTCTTGTTATTACCAATTCATCAATCATGTGCCTATCAATCAATCAAATACCAATTTAACCTTTGCATTGTTTATTCTCGTATATAACCCTGATATCCTCAAACCCCCCGTCTGGGGCCAGTGTTAACCGAAACAATTAAAGCTTACTCTGCTGTAAGGTTTTCTTTGACCAAGATTTTCTCCAGTGGCCAAACCAACATTTTATACCTCAGACAGAACAGTAAACACTCTCATGTGTAGCGCTCACGCTTCAAATATATATAGTTAAAAGCTTTAAATTTCGTGATTTATAAATCTTTGTAACCAGCTGTAATTTAAATGTTGTTTTATTCTTGACAACCAGACACCTCAATTTACACTATTATCCTCAAATAGTAAGAATATTTTATAATATAAAACATTGTTAACATTTATGTATCAATCAATTTATATCAATGCATTCTTGTTAACAGTACTTATATACAGGATTGAAATATACCTTCTACGTATGTTATCTTCTATGGATTTGTGGCGAATTTTAGAAGACCTCTGGAACTATTGCCTACTATTTCCAACTTTTGCCAACTATCGCCAACTATTGCCAACTATTGCCAACTATTGCCAACTATTGCCAACTATTGCCAACCATTGCCTACTATTGCCAACTATTGCCAACTATTGCCAACTATTGCCATCATACCATCGCCAATTTGAGAACATTGGGTGACCGGGACTGTTGCTTGGGAAATAAACACCCTCCTTTTAGCCAGGAAAATTGACTCTGCCAGTTCTCACTGCACATTTCAAGACCCTCCCCCCCCTTTGAACTCTACAATCACTATTTGTTATCAAATAAATCGTAATATTTTATTGTAAAATGCTGTACTCTCAGCTAAACTCTTACCTTGCAAGTCACTCCCTTTAAACCTTTATCGAATCAAGAATGTAAAGATTTCGTCATTCTTCATCTAGTCTGAATAGTGTTTAACATTTACAATACTTCTAGTCTGAGTGTTTAACATTTACAATATTTCTAGTCTGAATAGTGTTTAACATTTACAATACTTCTAGTCTGAATAGTGTTTAACATTTACAATACTTTTTTTTCTCAAGCAGAAATCCACCACAGATTGCTTTATAGATAAATCGGGAGTAATAATATAATTTTCATTATAGAAACAAACGGATATTTGACTAGACAAAGATTGAAGGGTTACCTTAATTGAGAATCAGACATCCTGTCTATAATAAAAGAGAGGTTGACATGAAACTACGTCTATACGCTAAATATAAATTGAAGTTTACAACATTTTTTAAACAGGGGCGGACCCAGCTATTTTAAATGGGGGNTTTCCAATAAAACTGCGTTTCAGCTGGAAACTTGTGAGCGAGTAGAGGGTGCAGGGGAACCCATTTTGCAAATTTTTTAAAGGAATTGGAATATAAAGTGAGCATTTTAAGTGCCCAAAATAGAAAATTACTCATAAAATATTTAAATTATTGCTTTAGAACTTTACTTTAAAATTTTGACTCAGCCATATTAGACAAGAAAAATATAGATTTATTATTCGACCCCCCTTGATCCGCGCCTGGTATTAAAGTATACATAGATTATGCAATATTTTCTACATCAAGTTCCATTGTGTACATCAAGGTACTAATGCAAGGAAGGTTAATTGCGGTCATCTATACTCTGCGTACATATTGAAACCAGTTCTCTGGGCGGAAAATGTAAACAAGAATGGGTGCATCAGTGTTCGTCTAGTATCCGAGGAGGATAAAAGCATTTAATTTTGATAATTTTGAAAATTCACATAATAGTTTCCTATGACCAGAATATTTCGTAGATTATATTTGAGACAATAGATTCCATGTCAGGCTGTGACTAAGAAATATATAGACTATAGTTCCTTGCTGTGAAATAACTTTCATTGCATTAGTACCTTGGTGTACATCGTAAAACTGGAGTACACCATCATTTAGCGTACATCTATCTTCAGAGATATTAATTTAAGGATATCCTTTTGATACGAAATACAAAACCTTCAAAAATAGAATAAATTCATGAATTTTATGTTTTATGTTAAGACTGATTACTGAACCCCTGAATAGGTATTATGTGCAACAAGTGGTGATTAGATGGCAGTCAAAAACCTTTTGTAAGAATTAAGCATATCGTGCCGGTAAAAATTTAGGCCAACCTAGCCCAGCCCGTATAGGCAGATAAGCAGTAATTATTATCTAGACTGTATTATGAACCTTCCCTTTAGTTTACATTTTTGTTGCAGGAGCTGCTGCCCCCTCTCTTGGTGTATGGTATGACCTTCCTACTGGGTGTAGCGGGGAACATTCTTATTCTCTTCGCTGTACTCCGCAGGAAACAGTACTTTTTACACTCTCAATACATTTTTAGTGGAAGCTGTTCACGTTTCTGAAAGAAGACTAAGCCTGTTTCGTCTAAATTCTAAGGGTTTATTTTCTTCTGGAATGGCCTGGTTTTCTAGCATAACTAACTATGTCACCTACATAGATCCATGGTGATATAAAAAAATGCCAAAAGTTTTTAATTATGGCCGGGTCGACTTTAAAGTGTCGCAACGCCTTGGTCTTTGCTTTTAGCTCACTTACTCGTTTTCAACTTTGTAGTCCTAAACATGCAACATTTTAAAGCCCAATGCACTTGTCTAAGAGTTAGTATTTAAGAAGTAGTTGGCAAAACTCTCATCGGTTTTAGCGTGATGGCTGGTAACCAGCTTTGGGTCACTGTGCACCGTGCACATAAAGGAATTAATGAGCCTTTGTAACAAACTCGCATTTTATAATCCCTATATCTTTGCATTCTTATGGTGTAAACCTTTTATTTTTAAAAATCAGATTATTTTATCTAACAAACTTCATAGAATATCATAGGTGACATTGGGTTGCAAAGGATGATTCATTTGGTGTACTGTCCTGTTTTGCCTGATAAAGTCTGAATGTTTACTATAATCCCAGCACTAGCTGCTGAAAAGTCGGTAAGGTTCTTGAATTGAACTGGAGTTTACAGGGCAAAAGTAAAACACGTGTGCATTATATATTATTGATTCTAAAAGATAAAGCGATATTTGTTTTCACGAAAGGGATCATTTTGGTTTTGATATTTTTGATGGTAAAAAATTGGATATCTTTGATGTTTCAAACCTTGAATATTAAACTTAGCAGAATAGTCTCCGGCATCAGTTTGACAATTTAGATATAAGAAATTATGTAAAGAACTGTTTGAACTATAGAAAGTCAATGAAAAATCCAACCAACACGTTTCTCGCAAGCTTGGCAAGTGCAGACCTACTGCTTATCCTACTCTGCCTCCCAGTTAAGGTAAAATCTTTTTTTTATTGCATACAGTCCTTCTAAAGACAAATTCAAACATCTTTTTGATCTTCGGATTCGGAAAACGACTGTTAATATATACATACTTTAATTATATATTTAGTTACCCACTAAGGATGAGACCGTGAATTTATACGGTCTGTTTCCTTATATACATGATTCCCTGCAACTGTAAACTTGTTTCTTTTTTTGTACTTTTATCAAATAAAATATTAAAATATTAAAATACTATTTAAGGCAGAAGACTAAATTTAAACTTGGGATCGTTATATCTTAAGAGTTTCCGGTCATCTTTATAGTCTTATTCTTTGTTGGTAACCCTTGTACGTATATTAAGCTCTTATTAGAAACTGTCCAATGAAAATTAAAACAGCATTTTACTTATTAAGTCAAGCTGTTGTTAAAATTATTTGCATAAATAAACTTAAGATTGCTTAAACATGTGAATAGCGAGATTTTGCATATAATAAAGAAGTTTTCTTTGGTAATCTCATTTTTTAAGAAGTATGTATGAAATTTCGAAAAAAAAAATTATAAGAAAGCTGATAGACACAGTTTCCAATAATATAGCAATTATGGAAAAATAGAGTTTGAGCCGAGTAATCAATTCAAAAGAGTAGAGTTCAACTGAAATTCACTCACAGGCTATATATATATATACAGGGTGAGTCAAAAAAAGTGTGAATAGCGAGAACTTGCATATAATAAAGCATTTTTTTAAAATCTCATTTTAAACAAATATCTATTAAATAAAAAAAAATTTATATGCGATCTGATAAACCCTTTCAAAAAATCCGATAAACTATTTTTTACTCAAAACTGAATGAGTAGAAAAACAAAAGTGCGGGAATTTATTATTTATATAACACCTTCAAATCTAAAACTGATGTGATAAGTAGTTTCGGAGAAAATGCGCAAAATTAAATTCAGAAAATCCGCAATTTTTTTAAAAAATCATTTGGATGATTTTTATTCTTTTTAAATTCTTTTTATAGTGAGAATTTTTGATAAAGGTAAAATATCTTAATTATAATATTAGGAAATTGCGCATACAAAAGTGTATTATTAAAATTGAATTTAATTTAGCGTATTTTCTCCAAAACTACTCATGTGATTTGTTTAAGATTTTAAGGTGAGATAGAAATAATATATTTCCGAACTTTTGTTTTTCTAATCATCTAATTTTGAGTAAAAAATAGTTTCTCGGATTTTTTTAAAGGGTTTATTAGATTGCATATAATTTTTTTTTTATTTAATATATATTTGTTTAAAATGAGATTTAAAAAAATGCTTTATTATACGCAAGATCTCGTTATTCACACTTTTTTTTGACTCACCCTGTATATATATATATAACGTGTAAGTGAATGCCAGTTGAATTCTACTCATTTGAATTGATAACTCGGCTCAAACTCTATTTTCTTTAATTCCTATATTATTGGAAACTGATTGTGTAAACCTTTGATATTTAAAACTTATATATAGCAGAGTTAATATGGTTTGAAGTATCAAGGGTCTACGAGATCTGATTGAGACACAAATAATATTTAGAGTTTTAAACGAGTAATAAAGAACACAAATCAAATCCGCGTAGCTTTTAAATTTGACAAACTTTGAATACAATTTCTTTTTTTTCTCTTGAGATTTTTGCTTTGTTTTTGTAGTTGTACAAACTGTTCACGTTTACATGGCAGTTCGGAGGCACTATCTGCAAAGGGATCTACTACATTCAGGTACACGACTTTTCTAGTAGATTCCCTTACTGGTAGGTTCATGAATTGGTAGATTCCTTTACTAGTAGATTCCTATACTAGTAGATTCATTTTTTAGTAGATTCCTTTGATGGAAGGTTCCTTCACTGGTAGATTCCTTTTCTAGTAGATTCCTGTTCTGGTAGATTGCTTTTCTAGCAGATTCCTGTTCTGGAAGTTTCCTTTTCTAGTAGATTCCTGTTCTGGTAGGTTCCTTCACTGGTAGGTTTATTCACTGGCAGAATCCTTTACTGGTAGATTCCTTTATTGGTGGAGACATTTACTGATAGATTCCTTTACTATTAGATTCCTTTATTATCAGATCTCTTTATTAGTACATTCCTTTACTGGTAGATTCCTTTACTGGTAGATTCTATTACTGGTAGATTCATTTACTGGTAGACCCCTTTACTAGTAGATTCCTTTATTGGTAGATTCCTTTACTGGTAGATTCCTTTACTGGTTATAGAAACCTTTACTAGTAGAAACCTTTACTGGTAGTGATGGATTCCTTTACGGGTAGACTTCTTTACTGACAGATTCTTTTAATGGTAAATTCCTTAAATGGTAGATTTCTTCACTAGTATATTCTTTTATTGGTAGATTCATTTACTGGTAGGAAACTTTACTGATAAATTCCTTTACTGATAAATTCCTTTACTGTTAGAGTTCTTTATAAATAGATTTTTTTCTGTATTTCATGTTAAGAATTACTTCAAACAAGATTTATAGATGCGGGTTTTTTCAAAGCTTTATGGTTCTTCCTCTATTCAAAAACAAGAATATTTACAATAAATCTTAATCTGAAGAGGACAATGAAACCTTAAGTTCTTACAGCAGAAACTGAGGATTGACCTTTCCTAGAAAAAATGGAGAAATTCTCTCCTTATTCTGCGTAAATGTCTAATATTGAAGATTGACATGTGTCTTTAGAAGTATAATGGTACTGTACAAGAACCCAAATGTAGGAACAAAGAATTTAAAATCTATATAGATCTTAATATAATAGATCTTAGTATATTAGTTCTTAATATGATAGATCTTAATATAATAGATCTTAATATAATAGATCTTAATATAATAGATCTGAATGTAATAGATCTTAACTAATTTTTTTGTGTAAAAAAGGAACAAAAGTTAAAGTCAAAAATACCACCATTTTTAGAGTGTTTTTGAAAATAAATATATTTCTTTTTTAGTTTTTAAAGCTTTTAATCTTTATAGATAAAAGCTAAAAACTTTCCATTCATTAATTCACTTCTTTTGCAAAAAGTTGAGACAGAAAAAAAGTTTAAAGTATTTTTGACAAATGCTTAATTACAGGCACCCCCAAAGCCAAGTTTAAGTGTTTTCAAATTTTGTGAATTTCGTAAACCCCAATGCAAATTTTTGAGCAAAAGTTTAAAATCAAAATTCTATTGCAGAAAATATTATTAGAATGTAAATCTATAAAATTAAGCCATAATAATTAATTGCAGCTCAGATAAAAGTATAAAGGGGACCGGTTTGAATCAGATTTGCTATTCTAATTGGGGTCATCAAATACTTTATCATTTTCTCTATGGATAAATCATTGCAGATATTTCAGCTAACCAAGCTCATAGGGCGCTTCTCGCCCCCTTTCCTATTAACAATATTTGCTTATAACTTTTGCTATGAAAGTTGCCTTTTTTTATCGTTTTCAAACGTTCAAGGAATTTTCTGTTTCAATTGGTGCATTTAAAAAAATAATAAATGTCGACATTTTTTCAATTTAAAATTCAAAAACGGCCGGGCGTGAGACACTGCCTGCCTTAGGCTAACGCAATCGATCAGGTCCGAATTTTTTGAAACATCAAATTATGAAACATTGTGATTGATTCAATTTTGACGGTCCAGTTGCCACCAAAAATTGGGCCTTTTGATGTTTATTAAATACATACAGACTCAAAAACAACAGACAGGCCCAAAATACATACAAATTTGATGGAAAAGTAAATAAAAAGAACACATTTGCCGGATTTGTACATTTTCTTAGGAACTCTTGTTAAAAGTTTGCTCATGCATGCAATTTTAAAATTCTTTGAATTCTTTACATTTAATTTTGTTTTCAAATCAAAACATTTAGTTTAGAATCTGGGTGTTAAAATTTGAATTTACAGAAAAAATAGGTGTCAATTTCGAAATAGAAACTTAAAAAGGCCAGCATTAAAACAGCTGTTCCTTAACACCTGTGTGAGCTGGTAAAGGAAGGCGGCCATATGAGCTACAATTTTCCCTTTTCCATGCCACAACCATTCTGTCCTTTTTGACAGAAAATTTTCGTCTTCGGGCAAATATTACTTTTTAAATGGTAAATTTAGATCATTACAATTGCGAATAACCCAATGAAAATTGCTAAAAATTTGAATGTTACCAGTATGAATTGACTACATTGTACATTGTACAAAAGGAGGGTTACTTGAAATCACTTCTTTAATTCAGTCATTGTTAATGGGAGAATATCGGCTAATAATGTTAAACTTAAAAACTGTGCGACCAAATCCAGCCGCTTAAAGTATCCTTAAGTATCAACCATGTCATAATCTGTTATGGGGTTTGATTGGAACCAGCACTAAGCCTCAAATCTCTCCTTGAAATAACGGTGCTCTGAGCTGGGAACTTTAGAATGGTGGATATCAGGATTAATGCTTAATCCTCTCTGTTTGCCAATCTCGAGATTAACATACTCGCAAGATTATGTTAGTCTCGAGATTAAATATTTAGAGCAACAAATTTGATTCTATGAAATTTAATAAAACATCATGCCAGATTTGTTCGTTTTCTTGACTGAAAGGGCCTTCACTTAATTTCTAACCCTTTTATTATTTAAAACAATAGTTATGATTAGTTTAAAAAGAATCTCAAACGTATTATTACATATTTTTCTTCACAGATTAATTTACAAAATGGCCGACAACAAATTCTTTTTTTGCTAGAAATTAGGTCTCTCACGGATAGAATTAATTTTCAAGGATTTCATTGGTCAATACAATTTACGAACTATTTTCCTGCACTCCCATAGGAGAAAATAATGTACGGAACGGATATCCAAAGAGAGAGAAAAAGAGTGGATAAAGGACTAAAACTAAAAGTTTCCACAGTGGATATTCGGATTAAGCAGTCGGGATCAAAGGTTATCCATTCTAAAGTTCCCAGCTCTGGTTAACGCCAAACGGGTTCAATCTGTAAAAAGATTGCATGATTAATTTTATTAATACGCTAAAAATACAATATGCAGAAAAAGAAATATTTACAAAATTAGTTCTTGAAATATAAATCATTTAATATCTCACAAATATGCAATAAACTATAACAAAATGGATAAATTCAGGTTTAATCTAAACAATACAAGGATACAAAGCTCATTTCTCATATAAAAAAGAATGTAGTAATGCCCAAATAATACCTTAATGTGCTGGAAACAGATCACAACATTATCAGCAATTATTGTGTCAAAATATCAAGTTTAACTGAATACTGTATAAATGTAAGGTAAAGTTTACATATCAAAACTGGTTTCGCCGCTGCAGTACGAAAAACTCAAGGCCGAGGGAATTCAGGACGTTTAACAAGGAAAATATTGAAGAAAAAAATGTCCAACCTTTTCTTTCGAAAAATATAATAATTTACGAAAACTTTGGCTGAAAACTTAGGATTTCTATTATTGAAAAAGTTGTTGAAAACTTTCAAATTTCAAACCTATCCTATATAGTCCAGGATAAATATTTAACCCTGTTGAAATTATTTTCCTAAATGAAAATAAACAGACTTGTTTCTTCATGTCCAACGTATATTCATTTTATTGTACTTTAAATTCTTTCTTGTAGTTACTGGTGCAATGCCATTAAAATGGTGGGTGGGGGCGTGGAGTAAAGATTTAGCGCTAAAATGACGTTTTAACCTTCAAAACTAGACCTAATATTTGAAAATGTGCTCGGTCTCTTTTCCTAACATTTTTCAAGGCAATATACAAGTATCTAAATTCTAGATTTATGGTCATATTTTTAATTGAGATTAAAGTTAACAACAATGACATATCTAAAAAATATAAAGACAAATGAAATGACACTTTTTATTAGAATAAAAGTACATTTTTTAATAGATCACCCTTGATACAGTGATCTCCATAGAATTATGGAAAACAAGTACTCGACTGTTTTACTGAAGATATGGTATTAAATGTCTAGATAGATTATACGAGAATTAAGAATTTATAGCGCTGTATTACATAATTTCAATGATTTTAATGGTCATAACAACTCACTGTGGTAGAGTACAACATTATGCAATCAAAACATAAATAAACATATTCTCAACTCTATGGCAGAGGAAACATCAATATACAAAATCGTTACGATCAATTCTCATGTTTATTCAATTGGGACACCCTGTATAATGTATATTCTTGCTGCTTTTGGTAATTTATTCTTATTATTATTGTTTGCTTGACACTGGACAAACTTTTTTACTTTTTTTCAAAACTTGGTTATAAGAAAACACAGAAAATATGAGAAAATAAGGTAAATATGATCCTGTGTAAAGATAATGCCAGGAGTCATGAATGTCTGTGTGGTAAATGGTAGCTATAAAGATAAATTAAAGAACATAATTTATTCTCACGTGAGGATCTGAGAGAAAGGGCCTGGTTCAAAATTACGAGTGAGCAAGTCCTCTGAATATCTGAATATCATTGCAATTTGGTTGGTTTCAAATATTATTGTTTATTTATGAGTAACAAGAAGGTACAAAAAAATAGAAAACTGAAGAAAAATCCTTTAAAAAATCATGAAAATCTATAAAAAGAATAAGATTCATATAAAAAGACAGCCTTAAAAATTGTTACCAAAGAGAACTTGATGGTCATCATAAAATAATCTGTACTTTTATGATTATATCAATAAATACTTGGAGACCTCAAAAGGTAAACATACACATGATTGGGTCCATTTACCAAAAAAATGTATTCAGAGACCAGAAGACCTTAAAATGTTCTCTTCTGCATCTAAATCAGAAATCCTAGGCCTTGAGAATAGAAACAAAATCAGTCCTAACCTACCTCCTGGAGAATTAACAGCTCTTAAATAGTTGATCAGAGAAACAGGGTGATTACATAAAACCTTGGGATAAGGATAATCCTGTCTGAACGAACTTTCTAACCAACAACTTCAAGAGAATGAAACACTAAATCCGTACTATGCACAAGTTGAAGAGAACGACAACAGATAAAGTCTGTTTTAAATACTGCACCTGATAAGAATTTCATCACAACTGAAGAACTTAAAGCTATGCTGGCTGATGGCAAGAATTCAGCAAAGTAGTATCAGCTGTTCAAAGTACATAAAACTCACATTCCAGGAAATGCCTCACAGGCCCATCATAAGCGGCTCAGGAGGTTGATGGCCTAGAATTCTGTAAAGAAGCTCTTGAAGAAAGAACAGCATTAAGAATACATACTGCGGGGATTACTATTCATGAATTGTGGACTCTGCTATAGTCCAAGCTTAAGCTATCCATAGAGAAGTTGCTTAGAAGAAAGTGGAGAAGGAGGAGAAACCAAAACGAGTTATAATCTCTTTCTCATTTATTAATCCTCAACTGCCGCCGTGTATCTCCTCCATCATACAGAAACATTGGAGAACCATGGTCCAGGATCCTTGAATGTAGGAGGTTTTTCAAAATCCACCTATGGTTACCTATAGGAGACCTCATAAACTCTGGGATAAACTCATCTGAGCCAGAATTCTAGATCCTCCATAGAATAAGCCCAAAGAGGCTAATAATACCTGGAATGAAATCTTGTGGTTTAAATTGTCCAACTTGTCCCCACATAGAGCCTGGAACAGTTATACAATCCTCTAATACCAGTAAGGAGATTGAGATTAATGGAACTTTCAACTATCAGACCAGAATAAAATTTCGTTAATAAGATCAACCCCCACCATACACATAAACAGTCATTTTTTAATCTTCATGACAGAAACAATCTCAAAGAATAATAATTGTCTTAAAACATTCTTTAAAAAGTGAATATTTGCAAATTATCTTTTTTCAATATCATGATCTGAGTTCGTTACCCTTTTATCCATTGGACGGCCCGTTTTTTTAAATAATCTTTTTTGTTTGTTTGTTTTCATGTGGCTTTTCTAACATTTTTTACTATCGACTTTGGTGATTATTACATCGTTAGAATTGACGTGGTTCAAGACCGAGATATATTTTCAATAATATGTGGAATTACATCTACTTTTTTCACTCTACAGAGGTTTGGTCGATCACCATCACCGAATTTTAAAATAAGTACAGGGTTACCCTCTCAGGACTTCAGAGACAATTGTACGAAATTTATACTGTTGGTTTCACTATCCCTGCAACTATAAACTTCAAACTTGTTTCTCTCATTGTCCAATCATTAAAAAAGAAATTAAAGACTATATCCAGAGCAGAAAATTTAATTTAATCTTTGGATCGTCTTATTTATTGAGTTTCAGGTCATTCTAACATTCTTATCCTCTGTGGGTAACCCTGTAGTTCAAATACGTCAACATTAGGGTTACCCACAAAGGATGAGACTGTAAAGAAGACTTTATTCTGTTCTTCAGTTTAAATTAAGTTTTCTGCCTTAAATGTGGGTTTTTAATGGCTAATCTTAAGTTTTAGCAAAGAAATGAAGAAGTATAAAGTTGCAGGGAAGCATGAATAAAAAATAAACAGACAGTTTAAATTTCGTTCAATTGTCTTTATCAATTTTATACTTGTTCTTGGTGCCAGTTTGTCGAATATTGCAGAATATTGTCGAATATTGTCGAAACTTGTCGAATATTGTCGAATATTGTCGAATATTGTCGAAACTTGTCGAATATTGTAGCAACTTGTCGAATATTGTCGAATATTGTCGAAACTTGTCGCATATTGTCGAAACTTGTCGAATATTGTCGAAACTTGTCGAAACTTGTCGAAACTTGTCGAATATTGTCGAAAATTCCAGTTGCTTAAATGTCAGCTTTTATCATCATGTGTGGGCAGCCCTGTAGGTAGAATTTAAACATTTGAAACAAAGTTACCTATTGAGTTGCATTGTAGTACATGATAACACCAAGAATACAATCGTTTTGTAAAAAGAAATTGAGTTTGATTATGAAGATACAAAAGTCCATATTTTTCAAAGTTTTTTCTTTCTAAAAATTTGAATATAAGAAACTAGCTTAGACTCTGTGAATTTTGTTGTTATGTAAGTAAAATATTCGCAGTCTTTGTGGTTCATAAACAGAAAATGAAAACATGAAAAACATGACTGCGTCCAAATTACAATTTCCTTTGTTATTTTAACCCAACTCGAAAGTTGACATTTTATTCTATACCGTTGCAGCCTTACAGAATAGAATGTATATATATAAATATATAAATGTATATTTGGTTTCTATTGGTGTTTTTGTGACAAAACTTACGAACCCCTTGACCGATTTGCCTCAATTTTGATAAAAATAATTTGGTTTGGATTTAGCTTGGTTTAAAAGTTAAGAAGTGTATGAACGAGTTCAATATAATGATGAAAGGGGAACCTGGAAGTTATCCAAACAGTATTTATAGAAGGGGGTCCCTACCATTTCGTTGTCCATATCATTCATCATTTAAAATAAAATATGCAATATTATCTTTTGTTTAGTTTAGTATGCCAATGCTTTAGGAACTTCCCACTTTTATCCAATTAACTCTTTTAAGTCGGGTGGAGTAGGTTGCCTTTTATAGAGAATATTTATTTTCCAGGCTAAGCTAGGGTCCCAAGCTAGTTATATATCAAATCTCTTTTCTTCAAAATTCAAGTGTTTTAAAATTCCCTAGGCAACACCGGGAACTTTAGCTAGTTATATAAAGGGTGTTAAAAAAAAAATCCAGAAATTGCATAAAATTGATCTTTTTAAAAGTGTTCAATATACCCTAAAACACTTAATCCTTTCCCAAGAGAGAAAGAGTATTTATTCAGAGCAGGGTTGGTAATATCCGATAATTGTTTAATCATGTAGTCCTAAGGCCCTAGACACTGTTATATGAATTTCATTATGATCGGATAATAATGAAGTCTATGAGAGATAAAAGTGCGAGGTGTTTTACCCTTTATATTATAAGATGATGCACAATAATTTCTTGTTTCAGGATGTATCGGCAATATGTTCTGTGCTAAACCTAACCGCAATGAGCTTAGAAAGGTAAAATGACCAAAATGATTAAGAGGCGCAACTAGGGGGTCTAGGGGGATGGGGGGAGGGAAGAGAAGTCAGAAATATTGTAAACCTAATATTACAAATGCTTTTTGGAACAATCCATATTTCTTAAATAAAACTGTCTAAAAATCCAACATTTTTGTCAACCTTGTTATCACTGATGCAACCTTGGTATCACTGATGCAACCTTGGTATCAATAGTGAAACCTTGTTATCAATCGTGAAACCTTGTTATCACTCGTGAAACCTTGTTATTACTCGTGCAACCTTGTTATAACTGGTGCAACCTTGTTATCACTGGTGCAACCTTGTTATCACTGGTGCAACCTTGTTATCACTGGTGCAACCTTGTTATCACTGGTGCAACCTTGTTATCACTGGTGCAACCTTGTTATCACTGGTGCAACCTTGTTATCACTGGTGCAACCTTGTTATCACTGGTGCAACCTTGTTATCACTGGTGCAACCTTGTTATCACTGGTGCAACCTTGTTATCACTGGTGCAACCTTGTTATCACTGGTGCAACCTTGTTATCACTGGTGCAACCTTGTTATCACTGGTGCAACCTTGTTATCACTGGTGCAACCTTGTTATCACTGGTGCAACCTTGTTATCACTGGTGCAACCTTGTTATCACTGGTGCAACCTTGTTATCACTGGTGCAACCTTGTTATCACTGGTGCAACCTTGTTATCACTGGTGCAACCTTGTTATCACTGGTGCAACCTTGTTATCACTGGTGCAACCTTGTTATCACTGGTGCAACCTTGTTATCACTGGTGCAACCTTGTTATCACTGGTGCAACCTTGTTATCACTGGTGCAACCTTGTTATCACTGGTGCAACCTTGTTATCACTGGTGCAACCTTGTTANAAGTCCAAGCCCAACCCCCCCCCCCATCCCCCATTTTCGCCATAATTAAAGCCTTTAAATAATATTTATTTATTCGAATAAGTAATAACAACACCATTTTATTTTAAAGCAGGTTCATGAATTAGATTGAAAATTAGTGAAATGCACAAAATTTCAAAATCTTTTTCGGTACAAGAAAAAATTATTTCAAATTTGAAAAAAAACAGTTTTCTAATAAATTCAAGGACAGAAATTAAGTAATGTTTAGTATCTAGGATAAAACATTGTAAACTATGAACTTTTCATTTTTAATTTCATGTTCAATCCTGATTTTTATTTTGATGTCATGCTATTACGAATGTACTACTCCACACACTGTAATATTTTTGAACTGGTTAGACTACAAACCAATTAAAAATACAAGATTTTCTATGTAATTTTTATTATAAAACAGTAATGTTTTTTATGTTACATTTAATGGTTTTCGAACAATCTAGACAAATCTTATTTGTTTGAAGACAAACAAAAAGTAAAGTGTGCAAACTAAAAGTTCATGTTGAATAAATAATTCAATCTTTAAAAAAATTTAGAATTTTTTATCTATGATTTTTACAGGCGAGAAAAGTAGTTTGTTCTACATGGGCTCTATCTTTTACTCTTGCACTTCCTCGCAATTGGATACAGGTAAAGAGCAAAATGAAGGGTCCCACCAGAGGCGTTTAAAGCAGGGAGGTGGGGGGGGGGATCAGCCCCCTGGATTTTTGAGCCTCTTGTATAAGTTCTTGTGTAAGCCTCTGACTCTCCCACTCCTTCCATATTCAAATTCAAAAGTAGAGTAAAAGGGGCCAAAAGTGGAGTGAAAAGTGGAGTGAAAAGTGGAGCGAAAAATGGAGCGAAAAATGGAGTGAAAAGTGGAGTGAAAAGTGGAGTGAAAAATGGATTGAAAAGTGGAGTGAAAAGGGCCAAAAACTCAAAAAAAAAAAAATTTTAATTCTTTTAAAAGCTATTTGATTTCTAACAACATTAGAACTAGAAAAATGCTAAAAAAAATCTTTCCACCACATCAAAAAGCCAAGAAAAGTTATATTAAGTTAAAAAGTTATTGATTGATCATACACATTGGATTGCACATTAATCTTTAAATAGGACTGATAACAAGTTGGGAAAAATTGATTTTTAATAAAACATTTTTTGTAACAAATTGAGGAAAATTGATTTGAAAGAAAAGGGGGGGGGACACTTTTTATAAATCATGAGAGAATCAAATCAAATTAACTATCTATTAAATTGCACATGTCTTTTCATCTCTAAGTTCAAAGATTTTAAATGGTTTTCATTAAACTTCCTCTTAAGAAATTAGAGTTTAATGACATATTTGTAAAAATATGAATTTAAATTAGATTTACAGAAATGTTTAAAAAAAACGAAATGTAAAATCAGAGAAAATGTTCTTTTAAATCCAGATTTGATGGGAAAATGTAATCCTAAGGAAGTCGGACATCAAAGCCTGAGCTTGAAGCTTCAGCAAGTTTTTTTTAAAATAAAATAAACAAATGAAAAAGAGTGGTTTAGTTTTGAAAAGAGTTATGGTTGCCTTCTTTGATAGTTTTCACGTAGCCAATAATATTTGGATTTCAACGTCCAATAATGAATTTCAGAATTGTGAACATTTACCAATTGAGAAAAAATATGTCCACATTTTTCTACAATTCTTTTAGTGGCGCTCTACGGAACAATTCTAATACAATAAAAGATTTTTTTATATTCTAATGTAATGGAGAATTTTAATGGTTATTGAATTGTATAATAATACTATTAACAAGAGCTGTACAATAAATCTTTTTTTAGATTTTAAAGAAATTGTTTATAATTTCAGCCTTTTGAGAAGTTTAAGTTGTTTATTCATTTTTAATTAACTAATAACATCTTCTGCCGATTATTCTTTAGATAATCACAACTGAAGCTTTCCCGCAATTAAATATGTAGATACATTTATTCAAATTCTAGTACAATAGATGGCAACGTAGAATTTGTACACTCTCAGTACAGTTGTACTCTTACGTCACAAGTGTCAATTCAGTTTTTGTGTCCGACTAAGTTATCAATAATTGTGATAATTTTAAAATAAAGTGCTTTTCTTACAGTAAAATAAGTGCAATTTTATGTGTTCTTTAGTCTATGTTTTTACACTATTTTATTTAATCTTGGAAAACATGTCAACTAATGTGAGACAATTTCGTTTTCCTTGTTATATTTGACACTTGTAACGTTGTGTATAATTGGTTCATTTCTCTGTTGCCACCTATTGTACTTGATAATTTATGTGCATTTAATTATCTTTATATTTGAAAGACAATTTATAACATAATTTTTGAAATCCAAAATATCAAAGTCGTTATAAATGCGAGAATGCACTTTTGACAGCTAAAATATTTAAAAGAAAGTTTGGAAGAATATTGAAATCGTTGCTGTCAAATTTCATGCCAAAGGTTTCACGGAATTTCTTTGTTTAAATTGTCACAAAAAAAGTTGAAAAATCAGACTTAGAACACTCCTAAATTCTAGACCTAGTTGAACTTTTGTATCTATAAACATCAGAACCAGAATTTTAGGAACCAGAATTTCCAGAAATCAGGATATCTTGAACTTGGATATCTAGAAACCCGGATTTCCATATATAAACCAAGATATTCAGTAACCAGGTTATCTAGGAACCAGGATATTTAGAAATTAGGATATCTAGAAACTGGGATATATAGGAGCCAGGATATCTAGGAACTAGGATAGCTAGGAACTATTATATCTAGGAACTATGATATCTAGGAACTATGATATCTTTGAACTGCAGGATATCTTGGAGCCAGAATATCTAGAAACGAGGATATCTAGAACATAGGATATCTAGGAGCCAGGATATCTAGGAACCAGGTTATCTAGGAACCAGGTTATCTAGGAACCATGGTATCTAGGAACCATGATATCTAAAACGAGGATAGCAAGAAACCAGGGTATCAAGGAACCAGGATATCCAGGAACCATGATATCCAGGAACCATTACATATTGGAACGAGGATATCAACGAACCATGAAATTGAGGAACCAGAATATTTAGAAACTAGGATAACCAGGAACCAGGATATACAGGAACCAGGATATCCAGGAACCATGATATCTAGGAACCAGGATATCCAGGAACCAGGATATCTAGGAACCATGATAACCATGAACCAGGAAATCCAGGATATCTAGGAACCAATGTATCTAGAGAACAAGATATCTAGGAACCAGTATAACTTGAACTGCAGGGTATCAAAGGAACCAGGATATCTAGAACTACAAGATATCTAGAAACCAGGGTACAGGTTGAATGAGTAACCTTGTATTCTCTAGGTACAGGTTTAATGAGAAACCTTGTATTCTCTAGATAAAGTTTGAATGAGAAATCTTGTATTCTCTAGGTATTGTATTTTCCGGTACAGGTTGAATGAATAACCTTGTATTCTCTAGGTACAGGTTGAGGTAGGGAACGATATCGATGGATATTCCTTCTGGTGTGTTCCTGACTGGTCTAACACTAAACACTGGTTATGGTTCCAGATATATATGCTCACACTGGTTCTCATCCTTCCTACTATAGTCATGTCGGTAGCATACACATCCATATCCATTCAGGTATACATCCATCTACATACAGATATAACCATTATCCATGCAGATACAAAATTCCATATCCATTCAGGTAAACATCCATCTAAATACATGAATATACATCCTTTCCATATCCATAGAGGTACAGTGAAACCCTTAATAACGAATACATCGAAAGAATTAATCAAATGTCGTATTCTTCACTTTCTGATAATGGAATGTTGCAGATATTTAGTTTTTTGATTAAATTATCATATGGAACTCTTTAAAACTATTCCCGCATATTCATGGCTATTTATTTATTTTCGCAAATACTGAAATGTATTCGTTATTAAGGGTTTTACTGTATGTACGTATATACATCCATATCCATACAGGTATATATACAATATACCACAAAATCCATACATGTAAATGCACATTCCAATACAATTTCAACAAACTTAAAGCAAAGTTTATTTGTCAAAAGTGAAAAACACATTTCTTAAAATATATTTTTTGCCAAGTAATTGAGTCTTTGCAACAAACTCTGATCCAATTCAATGTCGTAGACCTTCAATATTTCAAACTATGACTTCTGTGAGATCAAATAATATAAGTTTGAAATATCAAATGTTAACGACATTGGGTTTCAAATTTATAGGGATTAGAAAATCTGAGTTTGTGGCAAAGAATCAACTCCTTTCCTCAGATGCAGAATTTTATTTTTGTTTTTGTGTTTTCTTGCAAATGATATAAAAACAAAATTAGACACATTTTGAAAAACAGATTTAAACTGATAAATGACCTTTCATCGGTGTAGGAATGACGGGAAATCTGAAAAATTCCCCATAGCCCTAGACAGATTAAACGGAATGGACACAAAATAGGGTTGGGTCGGGCCGGGGGAAAATTTAAGGATGGCGCATAGCCACAGCGCAGTCGCTGAACTCTACATATTTAAATTCTAAACTTTTAAATTGAAGGATTTAAGTTGAACTCCGATATCTAAGGGTAAGCAGACGAAAGGGACAGAACCCATAATATTTGATAATAATAATATCATAATAATCATAATATTTGATATGGTACCAGTACAAACGTCGGACGGTACAAACCTAAGACTTACAAACGTCGGACAGTACAAAAAACGCACTGGTACAAACCTCGGACAGTTCAAATATCGGACTAGTACAAACGTCGGACAGTACAAACATCGGACTAGTACAAACGTCAGACCAGTACAAACTAAGGAATTTTATATTGATTTTTAGATGATTTTTTAAAAATCCACTATCTTCTCTTTCCAAAATTCGCAATCTCACAGAGTCTGAGGATCTTAGTTAAACTTTTGCTTTGATTTAAAAAAATAAATGGTTTAATTAAACTCTAGTTTTTGCCACAAACGAAAATTTTCTAATCCTTATATCTTTTCAACCTGATGATGTTAACCTTTGATACTTTAAAACTTAAACTATTTGATTTTATAGATTTCAAATGTTGAAATATCAAAGGTCTACGAGATTGGGTTGCAAAGATATAGGAGTTTAAATTATCAGAGGTTGTGGCAAGAACTCGACCATTTTTTGCTCTGTTGTTTATACAGTGCTACCTTCAAAGGATCCGGCTATGATCAGTTATCTTTGATTTTTATTATACAAATTTGTGATTCTTATGACAATGTTCTTTTTTTTTTAAATCAACCAAAGTCCGACTTTTTCCTTAATCCCCGTCCGAGGTTTGTCCAGGTACCTTAAATATACAATATACATACTGTTAATTTGAAAAAAGAATGATTTTGCAAAATACGCTGGAGAAAGCACGTTATGTGCAGGGGTGCCAACACTGTACTTTATGTACTGGGGTGCCCACACTGTACTGAAGTTATGTACAGGGGTGCCCACACTGTACTGAAATTGCATAGAGCATGAGACATTGTTTATGAACAAAATTTTATAAGAAGAGTGTTGATTTTTACTGATATTTATAATTTTTTTTATTTTTCTATTTTTTTATTCCAACTGAAGATTGGGTCAAACCCATGAAATTTAGACACAGTGTTTCCTCCTATCAGGACTCATCAGTATAGCTGAATTTTTATAAATTTTTTGATTTTTTTCTGTTTCCAATAATGATATTTATTAGCATTCTTAGGTCTGATACTTTGATGATAAAAAGTAAGATTTTAAATAAAACATGAATTACATTGTTCATTCTTCATGAATCATGATTTTTCACTTAAAGGGACTGTGACCTTCCACTAACCCCTAAACAGTGGGGTATACACAATTGACAACTGTACCTTTAAAGGGGCTGTAGTTGTAATTGCTTAAGTGACCTTTACTAAAGGGTATTTTTTGATGAAAATACTCAAATCCACTCAAATCATTTTTAAAATTTAAAAAATTTCTTGAATACATTCAAAAAAAGATTTGAGATTTCTTTATTTTATTTCTGTAATTTTCAAACTCATTCAGATTTGTACTTTTTTGGAGACTGTCTTTGTAATTACAAGTAAACCTTTTAATCTACAACGTTTCCCTTTAACGCTGAAAGGGACTAGGTTGTAATTTCTTAAGTGACCTTTTAATGAAAGAAGGGCATTCACTATTTAGAACGGTTCCCTTTTTGTGTATCCTTGCTGATTGAAAGCTGGATAGAAATCAAAAATCGAAATAGAAAGTTGTCTTCATTTTATTGGTATATACGACGACGATTGTATCTTAACAGAAATCTTTACTTAATTATCTTTGTTCAGGTAGTTAAGGGTTTAAGACAGAGAAGAGGGTTTGTACCTGAACGAAGAAACTTGCCTCAGCTCAATACTAACATGTAAGTTTATCAGCTCAATAATTACATGTAAGTTTATCAGTTCAATAATTACATGTAAGTTTATCAGCTCAATACTATAATACTAACATGTAAGTTTATCAGCTCGATACTTACATGTAAGTTTATCAGCTTAATACTAACATGTAAGTTTATCAGCTCAATACTAACATGTAAGTTTATCAGCCCAATGCTAACATGTAAGTTTATCAGTTCAATACAAACATATAAGTTTATCAGCTCAATACTAACATGTAAGGTTATCAGTTCAATACAAACATGTAAGTTTATCAGCTCAATACTAACATATAAGTTTATCAGCTAAATACTAATATGTAGGTTTTTCATCTAAATACTAACATGTGTGTTAAACAGCTCAATACTTACATGTAAGTTTATCAGCTCAATACTAATATGTAAGTTTTTCAGTTCAATATTAACATGTAAGTTTATCAGTTCAATACTAACATGTAAGTTTATCAGCTAAATACTAACATGTAAGTTTATCAGCTAAATACTAATATGTAAGTTTTTCAGCTTAATACTAATATGTAAGTTTATCATATAAATACTAGCATATGTGTGTTTATCAGCTCAATACTAACATGTAAGTTTATCAGCTTAATACTAACATGCAAGTTTATCTGCTCAATACTTACATGTAAGTTTATCAGCTCAATACTAACATGTAAGTTTATCAGCTCAATACTAATATGTAAGTTTATCAGCTCGATACTTACATGTAAGTTTATCAGCTCAATACTAACATGTAGGTTTTTCAGCTTAATACTTACATGTAAGTTTATCAGCTCAATACTAACATGTAAGTTTATCAGCTCAATACTTACATGTAAGTTTATCAGCTCAATACTAACATGTAAGTTTATCAGCTCAATAATAACATGTAAGTTTATCCGCTCAAAACTTACATGTAAGTTTATCAGCTCTATCAATACTTACATGTAAGTTTATCAGCTCAATACTAATATGTAAGTTTATTAGCTAAATACTATCAACTGCTATAAAAGACCAAGTATGTGCAAAAAAACTTAACTGCTCTATATATAAACCAAACAACTGTTTGAAAACCCCAAAACAAGCCGGTTTTTTAAAGTTTAATATCTAAAGAATAGTATTGCTTTTCAATAACAGTCTTTGGATTATTTAATCTCATCCAATTTGGTGAACATTTACATGAACTTTTTATGGTTATGTTGTATCCTGCGTCCACAATAGCTAAATTTCCCGTTGTGAATATAACGCATAATTGCCAAGAAAATTTGAAAATTTGAAATTTCTATTTTCGAAAAAAATTTTGTTCCCAGAAATCCATTTTCAAATTGGTTCTCTTGGACGTGATTTTTAAAAATCGATTTCGAATTTAATATGCCCAGAACTGAAAACTTTAGAATTATGGATATTGAGATTAATGCTTGATCTCAAGATTAATCTATTCTTTAGTTTGCATTCTGGAAAGTGTATAAAATTCAACCAAACAGATTGTCGATTACAAAATCTGAACAGCCAACCAGAAGCCGAGACATTTTGAAAACTCTTATTGGTCGCAATCCAGCAGGGATATCTAAAAGAGAGGATTAAGAAGAAAATTAAAAGTGTCATCAGTGGAAAAAAGATTTAGCGATCGGGAATGGATTAAGGGAATTGAATTCTAAAGTTTTTAAAGCTGAGAACTTTAAAATGGTGGATATTGAGATCAATGCATGAGCCTCTCTATTTAATAATCTCAAGTCTAATTTAGTCTTCAGATTAATTTCTAGAGATTAGAGATGCGCTCTTTAACTTTTGAAAACCCGGTTTTTAATTTTCCCGTATTTGGGGTTTCATATAGATTGGACTAATGACTGACTGAACGAACGTAAATTTTGAATTAATGTTTATTAAGACTATCGTTTAGAAGGACCATAGTCCTCAATTGTGATGAAATATGTTTTTTTAATAAGTTCATATATCAACATGATAAAATTTAATGGTTTAAATGCTCTAAAAGTCGGCTTGTGGGCAGCTGACTTTAGTTTAATCGGATATTATTCCAATCGATATAGCATCATATCTGTATTTGTAATCAAGCATATCACTTGTTGTGGGAAATGTGATATCCGACAAGAGCGGATTTAAAAGAAAATTAAAAGTTTCCACAGTGGATATTTAGATTAAGCGATTAGGATTAAGGGTATCCAACTCAAAAGTTTTCAGATAATATTTTTTTTATCATATTTGATGTTTAGGTTTTACTTGTTATGTAAACAAAATTTTTTGTTAAAATTTGAGCAAAGTCTTGACGAAATTTTATAAATAGGTCATTTATGGGACGCAAGAAGAAGAATTGATTGATGAACTTCAGGATTGAGTATGAAAACTGATATAAAATCTGTTTAGTGATCGAGGACGACCCTCACTGGAGGACGAATTAATGATCCCTCTCCAGGTTCGATCCAATTCTACTCCTGCTAGAAGATCGCTCTCTCGCTCTGTCTCCAGGTATTGTTCTATCAGTGATATGAAAAGTTATATATGACATATATTATATATGTCAACTATTATACATATTAACTATTATACATGTCAACTATTATACATGTTAACTATTATACATGTCAACTATTATACATGTCAACTATTATATATGTTAACTATTTTACATGTCAATTATTATACATGTCAGCTTTTATACTTGTCAACTGTTATACATGTCAAATATTTTACATGTCAACTATTATTCGTGTGAACTATAATATATGTCAACTATTATACATGTTAACTATTATAAATGTCAACTATTATATATGTCAACTATTATACATGTTAACTATTATACATGTCAACCATTATGCATGTTAACTATTATACATGTCAACTATTATACATGCTAACTATTATACATGTCAAATATTATAGCATCTATTATACATGTCAGCTATTATACATGTTAACTATTGTACATGTCAACTATTATACATGTTAACTATTATAAATGTCAACTATTATATATGTCAATTATTATACATGTTAACTATTTTACATGTTAACTATTATACATGTCAACTATTATACATGTTAACTATTATACATGTCAACTATTATACATGCTAACTATTATACATGTCAACTATTGTACATGTCAACTATTATAGCATAACATAGCATGAACAAAATGCGTACTGTATGTTTGTGTTTCCTAGAAATTTAATTTTATTAGTCAAACAGACCCAGATAGCAACACTTGAACTATACAGGATGCAATACGCGTACTGTATGTTTAGATAACACAAATGCGTATTTCCTACAGATGGCAGCAGGGGGAGAAAGGAATATAGAAAGTAATCAATTTGCTATAGATGTCTCTTGTTTCACTTTATCTCAGAAGTACAAAAATTAGTTGTCGGCTATCTGGTACAAGCAATTTAGGAAGAAGGTTTCTACCTGCCAGCGTATCTAAATATAAATTATCTTTGATCCTCTATTACATTGTATTAAAAAAATGCCGACCACAATAAAATATGCATATTTTAGTTAACAAGATTTTTATCTTTAAAAAAATCATTTCAAGGGCTGATATTTAGAACTAAATATTCATTATTCTGCAAAATGGAGGCTAGTATGTACTTACAGTATAATTATCTAACTTCAGAGTAAGGAGTTCAAGTGTTCGCTAGCAGATTTAAAGAAGATACTAAAGGAATTAGGATAATTTTTAATTGCAAATTCATATCTGTACAATTGTTCCAAAATAGGATTTAAAAAATTTAAATCATTTGAATTATTTCAACTCCAGTCTTAACTCTTATTCACTCAATGTACAGTGTACACTGCACACTGTACAGTGGACCCTGTACAGTGTCACCACAGGGTAACCGTAAAATAATTGTGCTCTGAAGAAAAGTTTTCGGAAATAAAACCCTAAATTTTTTCACTGAAAAGTCCTGTGGAAAAAAAATTTCTGGAAATAAGTCCTACCATTTTGGAACTTTATCTGGTTCCAGCATGATATTATACAAAAAGCCCTCTTTTAATGGAAAATGCATGGGATTAAAGGATGTCTATAACCATGGAAAAAGGGGGTTGTTATTAAAAACACCCCTAGCTACATTCAATATTGAGATGCATAAAAGAAAATTCCTTTTTAGGAAAACGTCTCAGTCTTGATTTCATTTTCCCAAGACTTGGGACTTTTTTTCGTGCATTTTTTCTTCAAGGCTATTTTTCCTTTTCATCTTATTTCCTGAGACTTTATTAGCAGCCCTCACATTATTTTAGAAAAAAAGTTCCAGAAATCTAAAACTCATGACTTTATTTCGAAGTGATAATTTGTCCTAGTACTTCAGAAAATTGTGACTTTTCTTCCAAAGTTTTTATTTCCAGGTTTTTTCAAGAAACTTATTTTTCCTGTGACTTTCTCACATAGATTCTCACTACTCCACAATATACAATTACTAGAACTCCTAGAAATGTACAATTTTCATCTAACCAACATTTGTTGGAGCACGCGAAGCAAAAACAAACAAAACAGCACATTTGGCTCCAGTGCTCCAGCAAATTTTGCAAGATGAAAATTTGACCTTTCTTAGAGGGTGGTGTCCTAATAAATATGGTAATAAAATTAAGACATTTATATTGTCTTATCTTAACAACTTTTTGTCCATAAATTAAGGTATTAGTTTACATAAAAAAACAGCTGACATTGTGTTGTGAAATATTTTAGCTGTAAATTGATTATTCAAAGAAACAACCCAAACTCTAGGATCTTATTAGAAAAAAAGGCGATTTTCAAGGGAAGGTTTAGGAATGCTTAAAATTTCAAAAAGTTGTTTAATTTAAGAAAACGCGCTCCCGTTCATGTTTATGTGAAAAGTTATTTATAGCATCTTCATAATTATATTGTTTCTTCTTTTATCCTATATGATGTAGCCTCAATATTAACGAGGAATGGTCAATGTTTCTCGTTATGAACCTAACATCAATCTTCTTTAATAGAAAAAAGAGAACTCGTACGTCTCCGTAGCATGTTTATGTGAAAACATGCACAAAGTTAGTTATAGCATTTTCTAATAATTGATAACACACACCGTGTTTATCGTATTTCTAAGTCACATTGCATACAAGTATGCTATCCTATTGAATATAATGTAGTTTTTTCTTTTGAACTGCTGCTTCGTCAATACTCGAATATAAATGTAACATGAATTCTGACAAGAAAAAATCGAAAAAATGTATCCGGAAACTAATAGATTTCTTCTTAATTAATGTATGAACACGATACTATCGTAAAATAGTTTTTCTGTTAAATCCATATAAACAAATTTGTAATATAACCTCGAAACATGAATAAATATCTAGATCTTAAAAAAAAAATTATCTTCGTATATTTTTAAAATCCACGAAAAAATGGTAGATCTTCAAAATATTTTTATTTTTGTTTCATAATAAGCAATAATAAAAAGTTGAAATAGAAAATGGGCGCGAAGCGCCAACCTTTTACTGTATATTAAGTTTTAATTGTAATTTCAATGACATCCCGTTTCAAGAGGGATATTTCCGATTCACAGCTTTATCTGATCAATTCGCTAGAACAAAATTGAAAATCAGTTTTTAACGAACAAAATATATATATCTCATTCATTCTTGATCTAAGAAAGCGTATAAGGGTTGTGAATCAGACATGCATCTTTTAATCATGGTTGGCCCTTTCATATTTTTCTTTGTTCAGGATTCGGTCGTCTAAATCTCCGGGCTCTCTCTTTCTCCGATCCCGGCGTGGATCCTCAGTCCTGGATCAGAGAACCAGGATGGAGAACGGTTCTCTGGTTAGGAACTCATCCGTTCAGTCTCAGGGAGGACGGATTAACTCAAACCCTCATGTGAGGAAGGTGAGAAATTTTAAATTTTCAAAAATTTTTGTCGTAAAATTATGAATTAAGGACAATTTTAAGTTTTATAATTTAGTAATTTGAAAAATCTGTGAAAATTCAATTCATATATACAAATCCAATATTTTGTCTGGAAAGAAAATACCTTGAAGCTATTATTGAAAGACTAATCTAAAGTTTAAAAGAAAAAAGAATGGCTTTTAAGCCACTCTTAACAATGTTAGCGTTAAAATGTAGCTCTCCTAGTTGTCATTTTTGTTTGTGATTGTAAAAATTAATTTTTCGCGGATTTTTTTTTAATTTGTGCATTTTCTTTTCTTACTTTCCAAGTTTTTTACTATGAATCTTTTCTGGGGTCAATGTATACAGTTGCTAAGTAAGAAAAGACCTTTATTTTCTGTTTCTCCAGGTTGTCAGGATGCTTGTTCTCGTAGTTCTAGTTTTCATTCTTTGCTGGAGTCCACTCCTCATTTACGATCTACTCCAGGTTAGACCCTATACCCATACTCCTCCTTTATAATCTACTCCAGTTTAGACCTTGTACTCCTTTTATACGATCTACTCTAGGTTAGACCCTATACCAATACTTCTCCTTTGTAATCTACTCAGGGTTAGAGACTATATACTTACTCCTCCTTTATGATCTACTCCAAATAGATTATCAAGTACTCCTCCTTTATGATCTACTCCAAATAGATTATCAAGTACTCCTTCTAGAAAATGTAAAAATTCAGGATTTTGTTTTTTACGATAATTGTGCATGGTCTATAAGAAATAAAGAAATATTAAGAAACCTTAATATTATTTTTACAGAGATGCAATGGGGACACAATTCAATATATGTAGAGTAAATACGGAAATTTAGAAAATATTCTGAAAACTAAATATAATATATTTAATTTGAATTTAATACCAAATGGAAAATACCCACTAAACAAAAGTGGATGGAACAACATGTTGTCAAGTGGTATGGTCGTACTATAACTTACTGTTAACTTGTTAACACCAACTTTTTAACAAAGTTACAAACTGAGTTTCAGAAAGTCGGGTGTAAGTCGAGTTTTTTCCACCAGATGTCGCCTAGTTGTGTTATAACTGTTTGTAACACTGACTTTTGAACCAAGTTAAAACTGAGATTCAAAAAGTCGAGTTAAAGTCGAGTTTGCAACCAGATTTTGCCCAGTTGGTGAGTGGACTCCAAAAGTGGTTAAAAAGTCGGTGTTAACATCCAATTATGGCACTACTATTGCAGAGTTTAACTCCACTTTGAATTCGACTGAAACTTCACAACTTGATAGCAAAAATGAGTTAAATTCCATTTAACACAAGTCTCTGTTTGCTTGGTAACAACTTTGTCTGATCGAGAAGAAATGAGATATTCATGTAAATGTTTCTCCTTAAATAGGACTAGTGGATTTATATTGCAGAAACAATTGAAGAAATTGTCGGAATTAAGCACGATGATTATTTCATCTGATAAAAGTTTAAAGGTTCCCGCTATAAATTGCACCCTTCTTTAAATGGAGGATCAATACAACAATAGTCCCTTTAAGTCTCATTCTTTGTGTCTAACCCTGTCTTTGTACTTTTCAAAGGAATTGAGTCTTTGTCACAAAATCAAACTCTAATCATTATATCTTTGCAGCCTAAAAGTGTAAATATTTTAATTTTATAATTAATATTTCAAACTTAAATATAACCTGATCTAACAAAATTCATAATTTTGAATATATATGGTCAACGACATCGGGTTGTAAAGATATAGGGATTAGAAAATCAGAGTTTGTGACAAAGGCAAAATCCTTTATAATCATTTCAGGCGTTCGGTTCCATTCCAATTCATCCCTTTGGTTATCACAAGCATATCAAAACTGTGTTCAGCTTATTGGCTTACTTTAACAGGTATTTGTATAAATAACGTTTTCATGCATCGCTAAATGCATCACGTCAAACTAAAGTAAATTGCACAAAAGATTTAAATCTTACATGTTTCAATCATAACTCAGCTATATTGTAAAGACAAAAATTTGACCTTCTCCTTCTGTTTAGTTCACAGTTACGCTATTTTAAAAGTGCACGGTGTGTCGACTTATAAAAATAGTTAAAATTTTAACCCTGCTAAGGTCTAAAAACTTTCCTGAGGAATTTAAAACCTGTGACTGTAATGAAATTGGTTTATGCATAGCTACATGTATCTTCAGTTTTTAATCAATATTTTGAGTATGGTCAAGATGGGTATTATTAAAAAAATCGGATTCAAGAAATTTGAATTAAAGGGAGTGACCGGCAATTCATAGGATTCATTTGAGACGGTGCATATTTGTTCAGCATTCAAAATCCTCATTGATTGTCCATTTTGGATGGAAGATTTTGAGAATCAGTTTTATCAAAATTATTTAAAAATGTAAAAAAAAAATTGTATCCCTCCAAACAGGACAATCTTGAGGATTTTAAAGAATGCATTTGCACTCTTGCTGAAAAAATATGCACTTTAAAAACGTCTAATAGGTCTTAAATGAATCCTAAAAAAATTCTCTATAATACTGCAATCTCAGTACAACTACCATACTTTGTCGGTGACCTCCTTTAACAATATCCAGAATTGAATTGAATTGAACTGAATTGGGTTCACTTCAGATTTGGCCAGATTGTTACATTTCAATTTAGATCACTACTCCTGAAAATTAAATGTCTTGAAAGACAAACTTCAGAAAGACAAACTCTTGAAAGACAAACTCTTGAAAGACAAACTCTTGAAAAACAAACTCCTGAAAGACAAACTCCTAAATGCAAACTTCTGAAAGAAAAACTTCTGAAAGACAAACTTCCAAACGACAAAATTCTCAATGATCAAAATCCTGCAAGACAAATCCAAATTGACTAACTTCAAAGTCACAAACTCCTGAAAGACCAACTCCTGAATGACATACCTCTAAAAAGGAAAGCTCCTGAAAGACAAATATCTAAAAGGCATACTCCGGAATGACAAGCTCCTGAAAGGCAAACTTCTGAAAGACAAACTCCTAAAAGTCAAACTTCTTAAAGTCAAACTCCTGAAATTCAAACTTCTGAATGACAAACTCCTGAAAGACAAACTCCTGAATTTCAAACTTCTGAAATACAGGCTCCTGAAAGACGAACTTCGGAAAGACAAACTCTTGAAATTCAAACTTCTGAAAGGCAAAATCGAGAATAAAAACTCCTGAAAGACAAAATGCTAAAGGCAAACTCCAGAAACACAATTAAACTTCTGAAAGAAAAACTTTCCCGAAAGACAAACTCCTGAAAGGCAAACTCCTGAAAGAAAAATTCCTGAATGACAACTCTTGAAATACAAACTCCTGAAAAGTTTTTGTTATTAGAAAAGGGGATGCGAAGGCCTTAAAGGCTAGTTTTTATTTATTTACCATGAAAATGAAAAATGAAAATTGATGTTAAAAACCCGGATTATTTTGTATTTCATGGAACCCTATATTTTTCAATGCTTTGTTTGTTTGTTTGTTTTTTTGATTTGATGTTTTGGTGTTTGTTTGTATGTTTGTTTGTGTTCCATAAAATTATTTTGTTGAGAAGGAAAAATATTTGTAAATTTCCTCCAGCGAGTGCAACAATAATGGAACACAATTTTAAGAAATCAAATATGATAATTCTTAAATCAAAATCTATAAAATTTTACATTTTATAGTTAGTCTCCAGTTAATATGTAGAATATTTTAAAGGGGCACCTTGGATTTTCTAGAGGGAGAACAGCAAAATATTTTGTAGTGTTAAAAATTAAATAATATCATTGTTGTAATGATATTCCAGTTTTTAAAACCTAGTAATCTACTGGTTTATGTTAACCTTAGAATTATTATTATTATTATTGTTGTTGTTATTATTATTTCAACTTTATAAACCCTGTAATCTACGGGTTTATATTATTATTATTATTATTATTATTATTATAATTATTATTATTATTATTATTATTATTTCAGCTGTATAAACGCTGTAATCTATGGGTTTATGTTATTATTATTATTATTATTTCAGCTGTATAAACGCTGTAATCTATGGGTTTATATTATTATTATTATTATTTCAGCTGTATAAACCCTATAATCTATGGGTTTATATTATTATTAATATTATTATTATTATTTCAGCTGTATAAACCCTGTAATCTATGGGTTTATATTATTATTAATATTATTATTATTATTTCAGCTGTATAAACCCTGTAATCTATGGGTTTATGTCTAAAACCTTCAGAATGAGTTTCCTTGAAACGTTCAAGGAGTGGACCCAAGGTAAAACAATTCTATAGTATATTGATATGCCATAAATCAACTTTAGGGTAGTTTAGCAACTACCAATGTTGCCCTAATGTAAACCAGCTAATCTACCGTGTAGTGTTCCGTCGGGCCTGACCGTAAGCTCCTCTACTATTAGCTCTCCATTGTGAATCAAACAGGAAAATCTTTAAGTTTTATTAAGGCTCTGAACTTCAATCTGATAAAATAAACAAGTTTTAGGTTACAGAAAAAGCTTTAGATAGTACAAATGACAAGCTACATTCATCCATCAATCGAATCATAACTATATATTATCTAGGCGTTAAAAACTGTAGTATGAAGATATTGACTAAATATAAGGATAAACACAGACAAGAGAACAGTACAATTCAGTAAATATTAATAATACTATATTTACCACATTAGTCCTTCCGACACTTGCACGATAAATCATATATATTAACGAGAATACATCCTTCTATCTCAAAAATACCGGTAATACTAAATAGAAAAACATGGAATTCTGCGCATGAGCAGAGTATAAATTTCGTGTCGGAAGAAACTGGTTCTGCATCTTCAGATTTTCCTTGGCAGTACACAACATAGTTCAGTGGTAAATACCGGCCAATCAGGGGTACTTCATAGACTTTGATCGCAGCGTGAGCTCTGCGAAACAAGGGTGTTGATATAAACGAACCTGCAAAACTTAAACGGGATTGTTCGCTTTCTTGAAAACGCATTATACCTAATTTTTTAATGGACACTATTAATCAAAAATGTGTTCATAAAATAAAGTGTTCATAAAATAAAGTGTTCATAAAAAAAACCCCGGTTAATAAAAGAATTTAGTCCTTTTCACAAGCTTTGATTGTCTAATCCTTGCATCATTGCAGCCAGTGTCATGTACCTCAAGGTTGTAATGCAAGGAAAGTTAATTGCAGTTGCGTATACTCTGCGTAAAACCAGTTCTCTCTGGGCGGAATTTGTAATTTAGTATCCGAGGAGGTTAAAAGCATTAAATTTTGATAATTTTGATAATTCACATTATAGTTTCCTATGAAATATTTCATTATATTTTATGTGAAAGATGGATCCCTTGTAAGGCTTCGACATCCGTCTTGTGTTTACATTACCACCCAGAGACAGTACACTGCAGTACAAAAGATGCGTACACCTCTGAAATAACTTTCCTTGCATTATAACTTTGATGTACCTTATGTATTTCAAATTACTTATTCTGTTATGTCGAATAATCCAAGTTAGTAATATCTAAGGTTACATTTTCAGGTTCCTAAGATATAGGGATTGGAAAAATTAAGTTTGTGGCAAAAACTCTATTCCTTTTGCGGATTAAAAAAAATATTTTCTTACATTTTGGACCAACTAACACAAAAATACAGTTAAATATGTCTTCAATTAAACTTCAAATAAACCCTCTAGTTAAAATAGGGTTGCATATATTTTATCGTTACTTTAACCATATTTAATGGGTTGATATAATCGGACCTAACTCATCACGGCTTTAGTTGATTTTTCATTCTTGTTAAAGCTAGATATATCACTGTTAACTCCGGTTCATTTCAAGGACCAAACCGACTTTTAATCAGCTGTACAGCACAACTACAGACTTTATAAGAAATAACTGGACTGTGCACCTAATGAATGATCATCCCCTTCTTGTGAAGTTTATGTGATATAGACTTGTAAATTTGGAAATTAGAAAAATTTATGTATACATTCTATTTTAAAATTTCTTCTAAGGTTCCCTTAGTTCAGTGTCAACAGATTATCAATTCTATAGACAATTGCGTTATTTCTTAGGCAGAAGGCATTCTTTATTCTAGTTTTCTGGTGTGGACCATCTTAATAATCTTTACAGCCAATTAAGGATTTAATCACTAGTAATATAAGGGTTGTTTATTTTTAGGTTTTTAGTCCTAAATGACGCCATGTCAACGAAAATAAATAAATGAAGTCGGAAGAAAATTAATTTTCTTATTTATTAAATTGTTGTTAATTAAAGATGTAATTGCAGCCTTTTGTTCTGTTTATTAAAACAAATTTGTTCTTACATTTAATTAACAATATATACAAATAAAAGTTATACTTAGATTTACTGCTTAATTTATTAAGTTCTGTACAGTCATGTAATTACGTAATCACGTTAAACTAAAGTGAATTTCTCGTAAGATTAACATCCTTTACATTTTTAACAAAACTTCTCTCATTGTAGAGTTATTAAGAAGAACAAATATGGTATAAATTTCTCAGATGTAACCAGATAAAGGAATGGAGTCTTTGTCACAAACTCTGATTTTTAAATCTTTCTTAACAACCCAATGTTGTAGACCTTAGATATTTCAAACTATGACTTCTGTTATATCAAACAATTAAAGTTTGAAATGTCAAAGGTTTACATAATTTGGTTGTAGATATATAGGTATTAGAAAATTGGGATTTGCTGCAAAGACTCAAATTCCTTTGCTTTTCTAATACTCGGGCATAAAGACAAAACTGGGGGAGCTATAAAGTCACAAAGTCGTACAAACAATGTCGCATAAATATGACCTTGGATTTTTTGTTATTTCAAAATTTGAAGAGTGGAATGTGTGTAACAATGTTATGGCATATCTCCATAAATTTCTTGAAAATTTTTATTAATTTTTTAAAAACAATAAAATAAAAATTTTCCCATAAAATGATTTTGAAATATCATGTTTTCAAAAAGAAAAATTGGTTTCGCGGATTTCTTTTGATATTCCAAAAATGCTTTTGAAATTAATAGTTACATTTTCTTGTTTTTGTACCTAAAATCGAAGCAAATTGAAATGTTAAACATTTTACATTTTACTCCCCCTGTATATTTTTTAATATAGTAATGCTTGTATTATATTATTATAATTATAAAGATTTATTCAAACACAAATTTTAAGTCTTTGGAACAAAATAAAATATTTAAACCTCAATATCTTTAAAACTCGATGTTTTATAAAATTTGATATTTCAAACTCAGATTATTTAATCTAACAGAATTCATAGTTTGAAATATCTAAGGTCTGCAACATTTGGTTCCAAAGATATAGTGATTAGAAAATCAGAGTTTGTGGCAAAGACTCAATTCCTTTGTTTAGATATTTCGAATATATTTAAATAATTATGCAAAACAAAACTTTCTCCTTTAATGGGGTCTGACATTTTAGTAAAATTAATTTCCCGAAAAAGCATCTTTGTATACAATTTTATCTTCTTTTGAGATACAAATGCGCGAATTTTTTTATAAAAACAGCTTAGCAGAGCAGAGGGTTACTTTACTTAATTGTCCCAAGGGATATAAAGTAACTTAACGTCCCTCTGTTAAGGAAATCATCGGTTGGTAATATTGGTAAAAAGGCGGTAAAATATACAAAACCATCCATAAGATAACAATGCTAATTTTTTATCAAAAGAATTGAGTTTGTGCCATTTATTTCAAACTATGAATTCTGTTGGATCGTATAAACTAAGTTTGAAATATCAAAGGTTTACATTATCAAAATTCTTATTTCGTACTCTAATTAATTGGTAGAATTTTCTGAATCGTAGTTGATATAGTTGATCAATGTATGGCTAATTGAACTACTTCTCGCTGTTTAGGTTGTAACAGCGGTGGATCAGAGAGGAACAGCAGAAACAGCGAAAGACGATCAGGAGACGGGTAGAAATTATTTCTAGGGGTTCGTTAGACGGTTAGAAAAATTAAGTGAACGAACACATTCTAGTTTGTTCCTAACTATAAGAAGAGAATTTTCAGCTCAGTTACCAGGGGTGTCCATTCGTTTGTGAAGTTATCCTTCGTTAACGATCTAGATTTTTAACAACATTAATGGTAGATATGCAAAAATTTTCGTTAACCGCTTTCACCGTTAACGGCTGATAAGTTCATTAACAAGTATTTGAAGTATTTTGCAATATTCTAATAGATTGTATAAATTGTATAACTCTCAATAATTGTGAAGTACGTGGACATGTAGTATCTGGAAGCTGATGAAAGAATTTATGTAATGTTTAATCCAATATTTTAAAGATATCTGACCATCCAAATCCAATCACAAGTCTCTGTTTGCTTGGTANTTTTACAGATATCCGACCATCCAAATCCAATATTTTAATGATTACGACCATCCAAATCCAATATTTTAAAGATATCCGACCATCCAAATCCAATATTTTAATGATTACGACCATCCAAATCCAATATTTTAAAGATATCCGACCATCCAAATCCAATATTTTAATGATATCCGACCATTCAAATCCAATATTTTAAAGATATCCGACCATCCAAATCCAATATTTTAAGGATATCCGACCATCCAAATCCAACATTTTAAAGATATCCGACCATTCAAATCCAATGTAAAATTACGTTGTCAGTTTCTTTCAAAAGTTTCCCCTGAAAATTTTAATTAAGATAAATGTTCAATCCAGTGTGTGTGATTGCTCAACAACTTTTATAAACTTAATAGAACTTTCCTCAGCTCTTTCATGTAAATAAAGATTGGTTTTCAGTATTTTTCATAGAACATTTTATTTTTATTAGTAAGTACTTAGTTTTAGTGCTTTCAATTTCATTTAATTAATATCCGGTCTAAGGAAAAAGGGTGGTGTTTCAATTCTTAAAAATCAAATATCAATGACCCTTAAAACTTATTTTTTTACTGCGGTTCAAAAAATTTAAATATTTTAAGTTTTTAACTTTTTTGATTTAAAACAAATTTAAAACCCTTAGATTCTTTGATGTGAAAAATTTAATGAATTGTTTCAAGTTGAAAATGAAAGATTTCAAACATAAAATGAAATCATCTTTTGCCTATCATGATCCCTCATATTACTGCAGGTAAAAACTTTTAAATCTGACATTTCACTTTAAACTTTTCATATCAAAATCTCAATCCTTCGTTGATTTTCAGGATTGTTTTAAATAGTAGAATTCAGAGAGGATTGCTTTATGAAATAGGAGATTTTATACAGTCAGCCCCATAAAACTGTGGAATATGAAGATCAGAGAGGTGTATACAAAAATTTGTCCAGAAGGGCCTTGCATTTTTTTCTTTACAGGGAGTTGGGCTCTCACCCGTTGGGGCATGACAACTATAGATTTCACTGAGTAGAGGAGAGGGACTGAGCCCCAATAGCGCCCCCCCCCATGTTAACTGTTAGACTTCAGTTATGATTTCAAATAGTCCAAAAAGCAAGAGAAGCCTTTTTGCAGTTTGCACGAACTGATTTTCATTACCAGAATGATTTTCAATGAAAACATTTTTATGTCGTCTTCTTATTCCACAGTTTTATGGGTCCCTCTGTACAATAAAGATTGAGAAGGGGGCAGGGTAGTGGTCCAGAACACTGAGCTACTGAAATTTTATATATTAACAGTTTGTGAAAATTCTTCCAGTTCAATATATGGGATATTGCGATATTTTACACCATTCCTCATCTTGTGTCACAATTGGTTTCACTATTTTTTAATAGAATCTTTTCATATAAAATATTAGGTTTTTAAACTTCCCAACCCTGGACGTGTTGGAGGAGTGACATGAAAATTCCCAAAATACATGCATTAGATTCCAGGGGTGGGGAATTTTTTGCCAGGGTAAATATTTCAATTATTCCCCCCCACCCCCTCCCTCCTTGAAATATCGTAAGCCACACTCTGGAAAAAATTTTATATTATATATCTATTTTTTAACGAAAATATAATTCAAACAATACCTTTAAAGTTGACGGTCTTGCACTTTATAAAGAATTAAAATGAAAAGAGCTAAATGCCGCTGTCTCTTTCAACTTAATTAATCCAACTTTCACAAAATATATTTTTTTATTTATGTTTTCTTTGCCACTAATTTTGAAGTTTAAAAGTCATTTAATCAATCTGAATATCAGAAAGCCGGGCCGCCGTCAGGCGCGCAACTAGACATTTGGTTAGAGGGGGGCTAGGGGGAAATATTTCGCGCGAAGCGCGAAAAAAATTTTGGCCCCCCCCTAAACATTTTTAGGGGGGGGCAAGAAAAATGTGTTTTATACTTAAACAATAAAAAACTAACCTTACCAACCGGATATTCAGTTATAAGTCAACACATCAGATATAAAATGAAACAAGAAATCTATTCTGGTCAGGGGCGGATACAGGGGGGGGCGGGGGGACATTCGCCCCCCCTGACAGATTCAGGGAGGGGCGTAGCCCCCACCCTGAATTTGGAATTTTTTGTTCTTATTTCAGAATAGCTTCTCAATAGCATGCTTAATCGTTATTGTGTAATTATCATTGTGTAAGAGTGTGGGAAAAGTTAGAGTAAGGTAAGGGTTAAATCTAGAAAAGAATAATAAAACGAAAAGGCATCTCGAACTGTTGAAGTGAGAGGAGAGGATGGGAATCGTTTTGAGTTAAGTTTTTTAACATTTAAGGTTTTTTTTATTTCTCTACAGATTGTTAATCCTATTGAAAAAAATTGTTTTCTTAAACTTTTATTATAAAGTTTTTCTTATTCTCTCCTTAGATTCAAGCAAAACGATTCGTCAAAGCAGTTTTTTGGTTTAAATATTTTTTTTTGGTTGATAATTTCTATTGTTAATCAATATCTTAGAGATAAAAAACAATGCCGTTTTTTTCCTCAATTTAGAATAACATGATTACAGACATAGAAATTAATTGCTCTCCTTAAATTGGACTTTTCTAATCCCTCTATCTTTGCAACCTAATATTTTAAACTGTTGATTTTTCAAACTTTGATCTACCTGAATTCGAGATATATCAAAGGTCTACGACATCAGGTTGCAGGGGCGTTTCAGGAATTTGGGCAGAGTGGGATTCTTGTTGTGTTTAATGCCCCGGAAAATTCCAAAACAGAGAAAAGGGAATTGAATTTGGTAGATCCAGAAAAATAATATCTGTGGGATGCCTGCGTAGAGACTGGCAGCTGGTGGGGTCTTAAATGTAAGACATGTTGCCGCAGCGCTTGGCCCCCTAGCCGCATGGCGCTCGGCCCAGAAAGTGTCATAACTTAACCTAACCCGTGGCCGCAGCGTTCGGCCCCCTGCCTGTCCTAGCCGCAGCGCTTGGCCCAGAAAGTGTCTTAACTTAACCTAACTCTAATAAAATACTAATTTAATTATTTTTCTGGATCTACAAAATTCAATCCCCTCCTCTCTGTTTTGGAATTTTCCGGGGCATTGAACACAACATGAATCCCACTCCGCCGGAATTTGCCAAGGTGGGGCTTACATTTTTTACCCTTTCCGTATGAGCTTGAACCCGTCTGGAAACCATATATTTTACTATGCCTGGGGGGGAGTGGGGGACTAAGTCCAATAAATATCAACCCCCCGTCCTTTGTCTGTATATTTTTGAATGAAATAATTAAATAAATTTTGTTTAGTAGAATGGGGGAGAACAAGTGTACGTGTGATGACCCTTTCTCAATATGTAAACTTCACACGGTTCAAAGGTAAGGATTAAATCAAATATAGAGATCGGAACTATTTTTAACTAATTTGGCATTTTTTTCATATATTTTACAAATTACAATTTTTAAGCGACTAGTATTGATACATGTTTCATGTGTCTACCCTAGTTCATCTGTTTTGTATTATCTGCCATATGTACAGCCTGAATTTGAGTAGCCAGCTTCTACACAACATTATGCAAACTCATCAGGAAGCTGACTTGTCAATTTTTATACAGGTTTATATATACCCCGGATATAAATAAGCAGAATTTAGATTTTTTCTTAAATTCTGAATCTGCTGCATCATTCACCCCTAGAACAGGTGCTCCCATGTCAAAATGCTGATCCTTCTCAGAAAGTTTTGATTATGATTCTACAGTATATGGGTTTCTGAATTCCACTATATCTGCTCGTAAAGTAGGATAAGGTTGGAGGTTTAGGAAGTCGTGTAGAGGGGTATCGAAAGATCTTCTTCCAGAAAATCTCTGTTTTTTCCTCTGGTTTATACATCTTTCCCATGTGTATGCGGAATGAGCGTAATAAGGATAAATTATCCCATTATTACCCATTATCTGCACCGTAAATACAGTTGGGGAGTTTATCCATAGTGTGATCAGAGATTTTCCATGAGGGGTCCATCTGTTGAGTAAGCTAGGTAAACAGCCGGAATGATGTATAATGTATAATGTACTGCTAGAATGCTTCATGACTCTTTTTAATTATTCTTCCTCTATTGGATTATTACCCTCCTGTTTATGTATGGTCTGACTAAGCATTCCAGCATTTCAGAGGAATCAGGATACCCGCTTTCTCAACAAGAAAAGCTCGGGAGAGAGTGGTCTTACACAAGCCATGGCCGGTTTAGGATCATTTGAGACATCAGAACTTTTAAATGTGATTTAATCTAAATCTATTAAAAGTATAAGGTTTTAATCCGAATTCCGTTGCGCGGAATTGCGCGTAATTGTGCCAAATTGCGTGGAACTTCGTAGAATCGCGTAGAAGAGCGCAAAATTAAAGGGCTCACAACTGCGCGTAAGTAAAATCCGCTTGCGTTGGAAACCCTTATTAGAAGAAGATCTAATATTTTGTGCGCAATATCGAGTTACGAAAAGCATTTTGGAATAAAAAGATTTTACAAATGTTTATATTTTAAAACATTTTGTGATTTCGAGCAAAATTATTGTGGTTCTTTTAGCAGTGTTCAATATCTAAAAAGTCCTTATTTTGTGAAGGAAAAACTATCCTCTCAGCTTTGTCCCAAAAATATTATCATTTACTTTCCTGAAAAATGCTGAAATGATGGGGGGGGGGGGAGGGGAATAATTGCCGCAGCTCGATGTAAACATTTTTCAGTAGCTCCTTGTAGCTCCCTTTAACTCCCTGTAGCGCCCTGTAGCTCTCATAGTAGCTCCCTTTAGCTCCCTGTAGCTTCCTTTAGCTCCCTGCATAGCTCCATGTAGCTTCCTGTATCTCCCTTTAACTCCCTGTAGCGCCCTGTAGCTCCCTGTAGCTCCCTGCATCTTCCTTTAGCTACCTGTAGCTTCTTTTAGCTCCCTGTAGCTTCCTTTAGCTCACTGTATCTTCCTTTAGCTCCCTGTAGCTCCCAAGGGGGTTTTGTTTCTTTTCTTATATTTATTTTTCCAGAAGGCAGTTTTCCCATTAAGTTAGTTATGAACACTGTTAAAATAAGATGGCACCATTTTGCAACTGCAAGTGTCTGTCTAGAGTTGAAAGAAAATCTAAATAAAAAAGAATAAGCATGCATTATAGAACTTAGAAGAAGTCAAATATTAAAGAGACAGAATGCAATATATCGCAGTTGTGTTAAAGGGACTTATATGCAATTTCAAAAGACCCTGCATTTATAAATTGGCTTGTCCAAGTCACAACGGTACCTATTAAAGATTATTGGATGAAGATCGCAAGAGTTATCTTTTTTAGCTTAAAAATTCAAAGATCTAAGATATCAGGTTGGAAAGATTAAGGAATTAGAAAATTAGAGTTAGAAATGAGTAATCCAGGGGACAGCCCATTTCTAACACTGAGTGTTAGAAATGGGCACAAATTGAAAGACTGGGTTTTTGGGATCCCGGCCTATATCCAGAGTAAATGTCGATAATAAAAACTATAACCAACATTTTATTAAACATGACGAGGACAACAATTCCCAACTTTAAACTTTTTTTCTAAATTAAAATTATGATAAAATTATAATTAAGTCAGAGCTGAAAACTTTAGAATGAAATATCCAGAGAAGCTCATAATTTCTTGATATCCAGATTAAATATTGCTTGTTCTCCACATGAATTTAAACTCCAGATTAATTATTCGACGGGATATCTGGATATTTCATTCTAAAGTTTTCAGCTCAGGTTTCTCATTTTCGAACATATCCTGAATTTGAAACATTGTCGCGTTTTCGAGACAAAACCCACTTTCCCGTTTTTGAGTATAATCTGCAATTCAAAACAAAACTCACTTTCATAACTTACAAAATAAATCACTGAAAACAAAAATTATCTTATGAAGATTAAATTAACTTCTGAATTATTTCTAGAATCTAAGTTTCCACATTTTATCTGTTAAATTAGAGAATATGGATGATTTATTTTCAAACATTTTAAACAGACAGTTTCCCGCATTTCTAGTTAAATCTATATTGCAAGAACAAATGATATTAGTATTTTGATTGCTCAATGCTGTAATGATTTTTAAAGTATAAAAACAGTTTGTTTTTATTTTCTATTTGTTTATATTTTACCTTCGTAAAAAATCTTGTTTTGTTTCATAAGTGCGTAAATACTTGAAAATTGACACTGATATGAATTCCGGTAATTGTCTCAAAACGAGGATATGTTCCGAAAACGCGACATGAGCTGAAATCCGGTAATTGTCTCAAAATAGGGATACTCTTAAAAAAGATAACTTTGCAGATTTGGCCCATTTCTAACACTCAGTGTTAAAAATGGGCCAAGTGTTAGTTCCTTAAAAACTTTTAGATTTAATTTTCTTGTGTCTAGGGATCTCCGAGGAATACTAGAGGTGGATGAAGCACGTATTGAAGAACTGAACAACCTGCACCAGGAAAGGTTTCTCCTAGATCCGTCCCAGAGAATCAATCCGTCCTTGCAACTCTGGAACCTGGAGAATAGTGAGGTCTCTATATATCCGTTTCATACCATTCGGAGACATAACATGGATAGTTCAAACAAGGCACAAGATATACTTTCTCTCCGTGAAGAGTTCAAGGCGAAAATGGATTCCAATTCCCAAACTGAATACCAAACTGCATCTCAAGAACACAATGGGGGTTTGTCCGAAATCAATTCAAAACCAGACATTAAATCCCAATCTCCAAATAAAAATCAAGCTCACGTTGAAAAACAACGCAATAGTTTCCATTCCCAGAACGAATCCCAAGCAGTAGAGGAATCTCAAACATACCTGGAATCTCAAGCAGACAATGAATTTCAATCCCAAAGCAACTCCCAAGCAGTAAATAAATCCCAAACATACCTTAAATCTCAAGCAGACAACGGATTTCAACCCCAAATCGAATCCCATCATAAAGAGGAATCCCAAGAATACCTTGAATCTCAAGCAGACAATGAATTTCAACCCCATATCAACTCCCAAGCAGTAGAAAAATCCCTAACATACATTGAGTCTCAAGCAGACAACGGATTTCAACCCCAAATCGAATCCCATCATGAAGAGGAATCCCAAAAATACCTTGAATCTCAAGCAGACAATGAATTTCAACTTCAAACCAAATCCCAAAGAGACAGTGAATCCCAAGAATCTCAAGAAATCGATGGATTACGAACTGAAAATAAATCTCAATTAGACAAAAATTCGCAAGAAATCAACGAAGTTCAATCAACCCACAAGTCCCAACAAGAAAATGGAGTCCAAACAAAAAGTGGAGTTCACTCCCAAAACAATTCAAACCCTCACAATTGTTTCCAAAAACAAAATGCAGAAGAGTTGTTGCATAACGATCAAGGATTCGTTCATAATGAAAAAGATTTACCTCACCTTAATGAAAAAGACCTGAAACCAAACGTAGAAAACTTCCTACACCTTGGAAAGTTAAAAAGCACGGTTGAAGTGAACGGTTTAAGCTCAGAACTTGATACTGGGATAAAGTTGAAGTCTGAGCCTGGAGATACCACCAATCCTTAATCCCCTTCAGTTCTTCATCCTTGAGCATCCTGTAGAATTGTAGCAGATAACAGGTTTTTCGATTAATTTTTAATCTAACATTCAAGTTTGCAATTTCAACAGAACTCAAACAGAACTCAGTACAGAAAAACTCAAACGTAAGAGTAAAGTTTATTTTAACAAGGTATTTAATGGGAACAACTAAATTGGTTCTTGGAGCTGAGCTCGTGACTTTTGATATGACTAGTACTATGATGAAAAGACTTAACTTGATATACACAACGTAAACTTTTGAAAACCGGAAATTTAAAATCTAAATCTCTGAAACAGATAAAGTGAAGAATGGTTTATTCGTTAAAATGACAGTCTTTGTATTTTTAACTGACCCTTCATTTAAAAAAAGAGGAACATATGTCGATTCAAAACGATGCCCTTGAAACCTTAAACTGATCAATAATGTAATCGTTAACGAAAAGTGTTTCTTTCTGTCAATTTCCTTGTAGTTTCTAAAGCAATAAATGCACAAATCCCATTTTTAAAGAAATCAGAAATGAAAATATTCAGTTTTCAAAGTAAAATTATTCATATTGATCATACAAAGCTTTTAAGGCTGCCGGTTGAAATCGGTCATACCCCTCCTTAAATGGAGGGTCACTTTACTTTATTTTAACAGTCCCTTTAAGTTGTAATTCTCTTTTAGAAATGATGCGGAACACCAGAGACAAAACTACAGATTAAAAAGATGAAGAGAAAATAGAAAGAACGGATGACACACTCTGAAGAGTTTAATGTATGAAGAAATCAACTACATGAGTAACATGAGTAACATGAGTAACATGAGTAACATGAGTGAGTAACATGAGTAACATGAGTAACATGAGTAACATGAGTAACATGAGTAGCATGAGTAACAGAGAGAAAAGAATAAGTTTACGAAGTCAAAATGTCTCGCTGAACACAATAATAGTATTTTAAAGTCAAAAAAATTGTAAAGAAAGAAAAAAAAGGCATAGAAAGTAGCCATTTTTTATGTTTAATCAATTAACTAAAACTAAATTGTCTTTTAACCGGCATTTCAATCCGGAATCTTATATTTAAGCGATAAAAAGGCAGATGTTTTTAAGTGAGACACTTTGTATTATTGTATTTCGAATATTCTGCAATCAGCATTTACCTGATCAAGAATGGCAAAAGAAACGAGCATTTAAAGTACTGTAGAGTAGACGTTATTTCAAGTGACCCTCCATTTATCAAACAGCATGTCGGATTTCCAGCGGTACCTTAAATCCTTTCTTTGATCTATACAACTTTGCAAATGCTCAAGCGGAAACGACAATTTAAATTGGGGTATGCACAATCTACAACGTTACATCTTTTTCCAACATTGATATCATGAAAATAATCCATTTTTAAAATTAAAAAGTTTGATATCTAATTCAAACGAAGACAGTCTGCAGTTTTAGGACTTTCTAGCATTTGAGTTAAATTGTTTCCAATTATTCTTTATAGTTTTGTTTTTAACTTTAATCCCAAAACATTTGAAGTTGATTAAAAGTCGTAATGGATTGAAGGCATAGTTTTTATAAAGCTTTTTATAATGAGGGTTTTCCAATCCTTCCTAATTCTCTATATACTGCATTTAAAATTATATATTTAGTCCCTCCTAATAGATTATTCAGTACTTGACAATCTATTAGAGTCCCTCTATTGTTATTTTTACTTGTCTTAATTTAACCATTTCTATATACATTAGCTCTGAACCCAGTCCTTCTGCCAGGGGTTTAAAGCGAATGATTTGAAATAAAGAAATTGAAATTAAACTTTAAAACGGCTAACTAGAACTAGAACTAGAACTAGAACTAGAACTGGAACTAAAAATAGAACTAGAACTAGAACTAGAACTAGAACTAGAACTAGAACTAGATCTAGAACTAGAACTAACTAGAACTAGAACTAGAACTAGAACTAGAACTAGAACACTAG